GTGAAATGGAAACGTCCACGGAAAAATCCATTTACTATATGGTAACGGAGCGTTAGGTTGCGGTCTCCTAAACACATTGTAAGTTGTGCGCGACGTCAATTGAACTATTAAATCTTTTTGGTCAGTAGTAACGCAATTTTATGTAAAAACTCGTTGCTATAAAAAAATTACAAAACCTTCTGTATGCATGGGGCATGGGGCAGATAATTTTTGCATCCATGTGACCAATTTTATTTCCAAGTTATTTTTTCTATGCTATGCTAGACCTATTATGTTTTCACCTGACTCAAATCTACGACCTTTACCAATTTCTAAGCGTGAAACTATAGAGCCTTGTAAGTTATCTGACAAGCTATACTGACGTCAAGTTTGACGTAGTGCAATCAACAAAAATAACTCTCACATTGTAAAACGTGTAAACGCCGCCTACAGTAACAACGGGCGGGCGTTGGCTAAGTTTTCATTATATAATTTTCGAAACACGCTGCACTTCGTCTGGAAATCTGGATATTAAATAGATAGTAGGAATATAGAAATTCCGTCCGAGTCACGAACCACCGTCCACAGATGAAAGAGCCGTGAAGCTTAATCGCGTTCCGGTTTCAGTCTGTGGATTTACGGATTTCCAAAGCTCAAAATAGGTTGACACTACATCTTGTTTAGATGTTATAGGCTCGGTTATGTCACCTACCGTCAAGTAAACCCCGTGCCACGTCTGAACTCATCTACCATTAAAAATAACACCACGTCAACACGTGGCGCTTTACGCTTATAGCGCTGATAGGAGACCAAAGCCTTATCTTCACAATATATTTATAACCTTATCAAGTATTTCGGGCGCGATGTCCCTTGACAAATCTCTTCAAGCGTAAAGATTATGCTAATGTACCGAATTATATTTTCATTCACGTCGCAATAGACGTGTGCCTGTGACGTGACCCTGAACTTGTCTACGTTAAACGATTTATTTTCCTCCAGACTAGGCTTTTCTTTCTAGCTGACCGCGCAATTTATTTTAAATATAGTTTCTTGAAACATGATAGGCAGTCATTAAAATAATGTTCTTTAAGTTTCTTTAATTATATTTCTTGAGATAGTCAAAGTCTTTCACGTTTGGTAAAGTAGGATCTTATACCGTCTTTAGTTTACGCGAGTAGTACACATATAAATAAAACACTTTAACGGTTTGAAACGCGATATATTTTAGTTAAACTTGTTTGAAAATTATGCAGCCGTGATTAAGGGGAGACTAAAGATGGAGGATGTCTCTGACATCAAAGTAAAAATTGCTCCATCTTTACTCTCCCCGTGACCACGGCTGCTGCAAAGCATCGAAACGTCGGGGCGTAGTTTAAAGTACTTTTCAAATATATCGCGTTTTAAATCGTTAAAGTATTTGATTTAAATAGGATTTTTTCATTTGTCTTCAGTAAAAGTTAATTCATATTACCATTAACCAAGACAAGAAAATCTTTTAAATATAGAGTTTTCCAAAAATAATAGTGAATTTCACAAATATAAACAAGAACTAATAAAAAGTATTAATAAAATACTAAATATACAACATAGTAATGAAAAAAGTTATAAAAAGTTATACTTTTCTAGATTCTATTTGTATGTCAGTCGCGACAAACAAGTTCTTGCCAACTCCACTAAATAAGTACTAAGAAGTTAAAGTTTGCATAGCTCCTTACTTAGAGTTCCAGAACTTAATACATTAATATGTTTTCATTTGAAATCTACTTGAATTGAAAAAAAGTAGCTTCTATTACTTAAATACATTATTGGCATTTTGTAGTTATCTACTAAGACACGAATTTCTCATTACTAAACAATTTTTATTCTTTATCCAATTAACTGTTTAATCTATTCATAAAAAACAGGTTTACGTTAAATGTCGTTTAGCTAATAATGGGGACGTGGGTTTAGTTCTCACCAGATCCAACATTGGAAATCCAAAGTGACTTTATATATATTTTTGGTAGGAATATCAAAAGTTAATCTGGATCACAAATAACGTCTTGATTTCATAGGTCGACAACACATCTAGCTTATATGTCACATGACAGGGGAATTTCACCGTCTATCAAATGAAATCCATACCTATCTGCTGCCCTCTATCATAAAAATCTAAACTAAAACTTTTGCTTAATAAAATCTGTATTCACTTTACTTAATAACAAACGTTTAAATCAACACAATAATTTGGATGTTTCGCCCATTAACTTAATGGCCACTTGGACTTTACTGTCCGGCAATAAAGTTTGTTTTCATTTAGCTTCGTCATAAGTGAGGCTTTTAAATCCTGGCAAATTGAGGAAGTAGGAAGCTTAGAACGGTGTGCGCTGGGGGATTTTACTGTTGGCGTAATGTGCACTTTTATATACTCTGAAAGTAACGTAAAATAAAATTAGTCTTTTTATGTTAGAAGTCGAGAATAAGCTCAGATCAGCTGAGTAATAGAAAGTTTTGAGTTTAACTAACAAGATTAAATGAACCGATTCCCTTTAAGACTGTTGGAAGAGGAAGAATAAATAAAACTTAAATAGACTTAGTTATAAGTAATATTTAGTACGCCTTGTAATTAAATTTAAAGTAAACCTTAAAACTATTCAAATAAGTCCGGAAATTCGTGCTACGATCTAGCTACAACATGCTACGCTAAGTCTACACGAACGTGTAAAAATACGTAGATGCACTACATAAAGGCTACGCGAAGCTACGATTAAAATATTTCTGAAATAAATATAGAGCGGAAATATTTAAAGAATATGCATTGTGATAAAAAACAAATTAAAGATAATATTTAAATAAAACACTTTAACGGTCTAAAACGCGATATATAAGGTAAACTTATTTGAAACTGCAAACAGCAGCCGTCAGTCTCCCCGTGACCACGGCTGGTGCAAAGCATCCGAAACGTCGGGCCGAAGTTAAAAATCATTTTCAAATAAGTTTAACTAATATATCGCGTTTTAAACTGTTAAAGTGTTTTATTTAAACAACATGACCTTTTGGAAATCAAATAATTGCTTTTCACGAAGCCATTAATTTTACAGCTATCAATCCAATCACGGCTAAACGTTCTTAAAATGCCCTTGCATCGGTTTGGATTCATAAAACAGTAACCCTGACCTTTGTTTTACAATGTAGTTAAGATAACTCGAAGTTAATACGAACATAAACGACGTTTTGCCGTTTGACAGAAATTCTTACAATTTTTATGCAAGGCATTAGTAACTTTATGAAATATTAGCTGTGCCAGCAACTTCGTCCGCGAGAATCGTTATTTTGGGCATCCAAATTAGTTTTTGCAAATCGTTAACCTTTACAAAATTAGGTTGTCGACGTCGGCCGCGTCCATTCCCGTCGTCTTGCGAGTTAATCTAAAATCAGAAATCATTATCTACATATTTTTTGGGTATCTTGAACCGTTTTTGCAGCATATGCCTCAGAAAGCCATTATGATGATTAATTTTTACATTCTTCTCAGATCTATCGCTGAATCTTCGCTCGTATTCCTCTCAGCGCTATGTTTTATAGCCTGTAGTCTTTCTTTGAATTTAATTTGAACCTGTAGTTCCTGAGATTAGCGCGTTCAAACAAACAAACAAACCTTCAGGATTATATATTAGTATAGATTATACTAAGACTAAATACATTTATTACTCTCTGTAATTTACGCATGTAGTCCACATTTAAATAAAATACTATTATTGGTTTATAACGCGGAACATATTAAGTTAAGTATTTAAAATAAATTATAAATGTGAAATCCCGTTTCCCCCTCGTGGGGCATGGGGCGAACACATAATTGTGTCCGTGTCACTGATCCGTTTTATTAACAGGCAAGTAGTTGATCACACTTCTGTGCCCTGCCTGACCGAGACATTGTCTTGGTTCCTAGGGATTCGAACGCAGGACCTCCCGCGCCTAACGCTATGCTAGGCAATACGTTTAACCATTTGGCTACAGACGCGGTCAAAATATTATAATATATAAATAAGTTAACTAATATATTTTCGTTAAAAGTGCTTTATTAAAGGGCAAATTTTATTAGTGTAGGCATTATAACAAATAATAAAGTTTTGTAACATTAAATAGATGTTTTATAAAAATAGTTATATTAAATACTAAATATAAAGAACCCTCATGTAGACTTTATTTATCTCTAACGATATAAATGTATATTCGGTTAACTTGTTATCTAAAAGCAGGTTATATACTAAAAGGCTTAAAGGTTTATACCAGCAAGTATGTAGTTGGAATCCATTACCTCCACGTAACTGAAAGCGAGCCAAGAATGGAATTCCTGTTGTATTTACTACCTCTATTGTTGTACATTTCTTGAAGGGGCACAAACGGCTTTCCGAGAAACCTACTTCTGAAACGGTTTATTTCATTGTTAGAGCCTTATATTATATGGAATTCCCGGGATTCCTTCGGGATAGAATTGATACGTTCTTTTACACTCTATAAAAATATGGAGACTAAAAAGCTGTTTGTTTGAACGCGCTAATCTCTGTAAGTACTGCTTCGAATTGTTTTTTTGTGATGATTAGAACATTCATTGAGGAAGGCATGTAAATTTAAATATGCTACACGTTTTAAAATAGTTCACGTCTTTTAATGCCCTTGTTTCAATGTTGAAATTACTGAAATAGGTTTGTTCTGAACAGTTATATTTTTAGAATTCATATGTTTCATATAAATATAGATTGTCTAAATTTATGACAGCAATACATTTGCAGAGGTGAAATTAGATATTATAAACTTAAATAAAATGGAATCATAGTATTTAAAATAGAAAAATAATTTATTTTTTAAAGCTTTTACCATCTAATAGAGCCTGTAAGCGCAAAGCTTAATTATATTAATTACTTCTTAAACCTAATGTTATTTTACCCTTAAAATTGTTAATGTGTACGTGTACAAATTAAGTTAAATGAAACGCCAGTCAACTTCTTTTCAAACCGTTTAAAGTGTTATATTTGTTTCAGGTACTCGGCTCTGACACAGAATGGCATTTTTCTCACCGTGGGCTGCCGCAAGCTCGTACCAAGCGTTCAATAGCACACGCAAGGCTTTTAAAAAGACATCCTCTCGTAAGTATAAATAAAAACTAGTAATAAATTTAATGTTGCCATAGTATTATTATTTTACTTTTATTATCATTTTTGATTGTACAAAATGAATGCTAAATAAAGAGATTTATTATTATTATTAAAATAACTGTTAGTTTTAGTTGCCATATATATTTATATATCTGTATATACAGCTGTAGATAATTAATTGTATCTCTAGCCTGAATATTCTATCTTTCACTATATGTATTTAATCAAAGGCTAATATTTTTTGTTTAATTTTGTTTTCACTCTGTTCTTGTACAACTTTAAATGCTGTATCTCTAATTGTTTTACACTATTTTGTATTTTGATCTATTAAATTATATTGTTTACGTCATTGTGACAGTCCTAAAGTATTAAAATTTAAAAAACAAATATGCATTTCCTAAAAACATTATTCTTTAAATAAAACACTTTAACGGTTTAAAACGCGATATATTAGTTGTTATTTGAAACTGATTTTTAACTTCGGCCCGACGTTTCGAACGCTTTTTGCAGCCGTGGACACGGGACCATTTGCCGGGAAATCATTTTCAAATAAGTTTAACAAATATATCGCGTTTTAAACCGTTAAAGTGTTTTATTTAAATGTGTACTACTCGCGTAAACTATAGACAGTATTTAACATTTCCTAATATTATACAGTATTTTTTACGATACAGTACTAATAAGAATGGGATTCGTTCGGTGGTAGTTGAAATTTCTCAGTCATGTAACAACTAAACAGGATGTATTGTCGACGTATTTTGGCAAATAGGGTAAATTTAAGATCAAGCTGTATATATATAGTCTTACTCAATAGATCATTGATTACTTTACATGGACTCTTACTATAATATAGTTGGGACTAGTATTTACAAAAATAGATGATAATTAAAAAAATCATTAGTTGTAAGGCGTAGAAACTTAACAACTAAAGTAAATCCAAAAGGAACAACCCGCATTAGTTAATTAAAAAAAGAATTAGTCTCAAGCTGAGGTGTTTTCAATTAAATAAAAAAACCTTAATCTCGAAATAAGTCCCTCTAAACATTTTTGGCTTGAGCTTTCTTTAAATAATTAATTGGAGTCCTTAATTGGAAATTCTTAAGTGACTTTGTTTTTGGTTTGTTGTTTTCACTCTAATTGAGAAAAAGTAATTTAGTATCGCTTTAACAGTTCCGAGGTGTGGCATTTTAGATTCATATATGTATGTTCCAACCGCCTCTGTGGCCAAATGGTTAAAAAAAAAATTGTTTCGGTCGGGCAGGGCACAGAAGTCTGATCAACTACTTACCCGCTAAAAGAACGGATCAATGAAACGGACGCAATAATGTGTTCGCCCCTTGCCCCACGAGGGGGAACACTTTCACTTTTTTTCATATGTATCAAGATAAGGTTCTAGATAAATAAAATGCATTGTCCCGAAGGTGATGACTTTTTCTATGACTTCTATCAGGAAGTCATAATCCATCACTTAGCTTTCGGAGATCGAGGATTCCCGACACAACACAATAAAATCTGTTTTACTACTAACACTGCATAACCAGGAATTTAACAAAATTTGAATGAAACACTTTAACGATTTCAAACGCGATATATATTTGTTAAACTTATTTTGATTAATAAAAACCGTGTTTTAAACCGTTAAAGAGTTTTATTTAAATATGTACTACTCGTATAAACTACAGATAGTATTTAACTATGTTTTTACGCGTATTTTTTTAGATACTTCTAGGAAAACTTAAATTAATTGAAGAGAAGATCTCGTGTTTTCATTAATTTGTTGAATAATCTGAAATGGCCTGAAATTCCGGCCTCATTGACGTACTTACATTGCATACGAAATTAAATAGTTCCTTTGAGAACGGTCTGCGTCTAAAACGACCGGTGAGCAATTTTACACAAAAGGCATTTTTAGAATACCGCCTGCATTCTTGTACCTTGTAGTTTACTTACGTAAGAACACGGACAAAGGGAACAATGGAGGTCCTTACACTGAGAAAGTTATTCATTTGAAAACTTTATTATTATTTACATGTGAAGGCACTATATAATTAAAAATTCGAATATAAATTGAAAAAAAATTCGACTCCGAGTCACTCGGTAGGTCAATCGGTAGAGCAACAGCACGGAACGCCGACGATGCCGATTCAAGTCCTGCCTGAGTCGGATTTTTTTTTAATTTATTCTCGATTTTTAAATTAAACTTTTATTTCCCACAAAAATTGATAGATAACTTACTTGAGAACACTGTACAACTCAACATTATTCTTTAAATAATTCTACCCGCATGCAACATTCAAGATTCTTTATTTATCTATCATTGAAAAATGACAGTTTTCTTATTATACGTACTACTCTTTATCTATAGTCGTATCTTTATAATTAATTTTGTATGCGAATGGAACATCCATTACCGTCGTTTTTTTATAATTATATGCGCAATTAATTATTTTAGACTGAAATAAAATTTAATGACGCTTCGCGGAATATTTATTTAGTTAAAACATTTTATAATATTTTCTACATCGCTTTAAAGTTTAATTAACTCACGCACTATAGCAAATACCGGTTTCATATCTGTAAATAGTCGTCGTGAGTTGGATCCTCGTCGGGTCTTTTTTATATTTTTTCTGAAGCATGTCGGACTTCGTCTGGAAATCTGAATATTAAATAGGTGGTAGAAAAGTTGAATTTGCAGATGAAAAGTCCATGAAATTTTATCGCGTTTCAGTTCTGTGTGCGTTTAAAACGAAAGCCAAAATAGATCGACATCGCATCCTATTTAGATGTTATGGACTGGGACCCCATGCTTTTCTGTCCTTCTCCATTATAAATCAACTTTGATTAAATCAACGATGTTACAGTAGAAATAATTCCTAACCCACCACCCTTTGTTCTCTGGCTATAGAAAGAAAGTCTGCAGAGTACTACAGCTTTGTAACTTTCCCTGACAGCTTAGCCCTTTTGTACAAGGCAAATACATTTTTTTACATTCTTAACATTTAAAAGTTACATTTTGTCATAACTAGGTACACACGGCAGTACAACAGCCTGGGTTCAAGCGTGTAAAAAGAGGCTTTAGGCCTCTTCGCCTACCTGAAACAGAACCCGCCGCGGAGCCCCGTGACCCTTACTTCCCCTTACAATGGTATTTGAAGAACACGGGCCAGAATGGTGGAAAGCCCAAACTCGATCTTAACGTGGAGGCTGCGTGGGCCCAAGGATACACTGGTGTTAATGTCACAACAGCTATTATGGATGACGGTAAGTCATATGTCAAGACCTAATGTTTAGGATGCTCGTGAAAGGAACAGGACGTGGGCCAAAACGTCGGGTCATGATTGAAATTACATAAAAAATATGCATCGCATTCTTACCTAAAAAACTGTGTATTGATTTATCCACAGATACAAAATCAATATTGATTACTATTCAATAAATCAATATTGTTTTGACACTTTTAAACCGAAGTAATTATATCGTGTAGTCAATTAATTAAACGACACGTAAAATAGTTCTAATGGAGTTTAAAAAAATAGCATATTAAGTACGGAATATTGATTTTGACTAGTGTTTAAATTATTTTTTTCCTTAATTTATAACTTACTGACGACCTTTATGTTTAAAACATAATAAACCGTGTCTGTTGAAAGATCTGCTTCTGTCGGCTAATCACGTATGTATAAACTGGAGCGAAACGGGACAAAAATATATATATACCCCACACTTCATATTTTTTCAAATAAAACACTTATAACGGATTACACTGTGAAATATGTAAGTTTTAAACCGTTATAAGTGTTTTATTTTAATGTGTATTGACAATACTTGTTTTTTATTATCAATTTAATTGTTCCAGGTGTAGACTACATGCACCCCGACTTGAAGTTCAATTATGTAAGTATCTTCTGTAAATCATTGTACCGCCCGCGTAGCCCTATATTTAAACATAGAAAACCTGGGTTTGAATTCTGGGAAAGACACAGAAGCTTATAGGTAAAGCTCGAGTTTTGGTTACGGTCTGCGGATTTTCGAATCCAAAGCCAGAATATATAGATGACGCATCTTGTCAAGATGTTATCTGGTTGGGGCACCTTCTATCCAGTGAAACTTATGTTTGTCAACATCTATGGTAAAGAAACGAACACATAAACGTGTTTGCCTCATACCCCACAAGGGACGCAGTTGATTTATATAATCTATACTAATATATAAAGCTGAAGAGTTCATTTGAACGCTCTAATCTCCGGAACTACTGGTTCGAATTGAAAAATTATTTTTGTGTTAGATTTATCGAGGAAGGTTATTATTGCGATGTAATCAATACGAGCGAAGAAAGATCGAGAAATGTGGAAAAACGGGGAGTCGCTAACACAGCTAGTATAATATATGATAGTATTTAAAATATTATTTTCAATTACGGACAACTTATATTTGTTGTTAATTAACTTTAACCATCTTCTCGCGAACGAAGATTTCACTTCTCATTAAATTTTATAGTCTCTCGTTAGCGCAGATTAGCTTTAAGATTATTTTAAGTGAAAAAGCTTAATTCGTTATTACTCGAACCATTACGAGTTATAGTGCGCGGAGGACAAATTAGGCTTTTCAATAAAGACTTTGTTGGAAGGTAGAGAACGTTTTATCTTTATTACGATTTCTGTCATTAAACGAGGAAATCTCAGTTCATGAGGTATTATATAAATTTAAAATCTATTTGCATTGAAAAAGGCACGGGCTGTGGACTTGAACCGGCTACACGGTAATACTCAAGTGCTATGATTACAGTGCGCGAGAGATGCATGTACCAATAAGTTGAAAAAAATTGAAGATGACGTGAGGGACTCGGTAGCTCAATTGGTTAGGGGAACAGCACTGAACGCTGACGATGCCAGTTCAAGTCCTGTTCCAGTCGAATTATTATTTTTTAATTTTCCATTTTGAATTTACTATAGATGGTGCAACCTACTTTAATAGAAATAAATAAATATTCTTGCAGAATGCGGAAGCCTCTTACGACTTCAGCAGTAACGATCCGTTTCCTTATCCAAGATATACCGATGACTGGTTTAACAGGTACGTTATACAATATCTATACTTATGACAATAATAAATAAAAACTAATGAAGATACTATGTGATTAAAATTCACCTATGAAGCCTTTCGTCTTAGCTGTGTGAATATGAAACTACATACTTCATGTTTTTATTTTATAAAGACAAAGCCGAATGTTTGATTACTGAAAATAAAGAGAATTTTATAAAGCTTTGATATGATATGTTATAATCCAACAGTATAGCTTTGATCTCTTTGAGTATACATAAAAATAAGTCAAAATGTGTGATTAACATTAAAACTTTATATAAAATACTTATAGCTTGTAGAAAAGTAGAGAATACGTATTGCCTGCCGAGTAGTAGGTACACAATAAATAAAATAATTTTAACGGCTTAAAACGCGATATATATTAGTTAACAACTACAACGAAACAAATGGCGCTAGCGTAACACATTTGACTTTAACATTAGGGACATCCTCCATCTTCAGTCCCCACGTGACCAAGGCAAGTAACTGAAACGGGCCCTAGTTAAAATAAACTGTAACTAAGTTAACTTATATACTTCGTGTTTTAAACCATTAAAAGTGCTATATTAAAGCATCTTTATCTATATAGATGTGAAAGATTTTTGTCAAGGAACGAAAATCTTCCTAAATTTGAGAAATAAAGTAAAAAACTTTATTGAGAGGTTTTGTTATTGTTAATCAAAATTGTAATTGTGAAACGAACTCCGAAGTAAATTAAGAATTTCAACGTTCACGTTTCTTCGTGAATTCCAGATTGAGATAGACTATGAAAACTTTGTGTTTCAAGTTAATTGGAACTCGGCATCCAATACCGTGGAAATTCTTTACGTATCGCGATTGATTTAAAACTACAAGTATATATACCTGAACTTAATTAATTTTAAAACAAACTAAGACTATTATTATTGATAATTGAAAATAAAGAATGGTATTAATAAAAATAAAGGTCTTTAATACATTAAAACGTTAATATTATTTTAGAATGTTTCAAAAAATTACAATGATTTCGTTAATTCCTTTTTTAACTAAACCGTGGTGAGTGCTATTGGGTTATAACATCGTGAAGTCAAAATCTATATTGTTTATGTTTTAAATCGTCAAATTTTTTTTTTTTTTTCAACTAATTAATAATTTCAAAGTGCGGGCTGACCATAGTTGTTACTTATACCATGTACCTTTGCTTTTATCAAAATGTTTCTATTTATAACAAAAATATAGGAAACATTTAGTTGCATAACCAGTGACTATAATTAAAACCAAGCCAGTGTTTAAATAAAATACTTTAACGCTTAATTACCTATGGCCCGACGTTTTTGATGCTTTGTAGCAGGACAGACAGTATTTAATCTACTCAAATAAAACACTTTAACGGTTTAAAACGCGATATATTTTAGTTAAAGTTGTGTGAGACTTATTGTTAACTACGGCCCGAGGTTTCGGATGCTTTGCAGCAGCCGTGGTCACGGGGAGACTAAAGATGGAGGAAGTCTCTGAAGTCAAAGTAAAAAAAGCTACGCTAGCGCCATCTGTTTCGACGAGGGGCCATAAAAGTAGTAGTATCTACTATAAGTATACAAAATACATTAGGAATTCAGAACATCAGACAACCGTCAGTAGCTGTCAAATTGATAAAACCCTATTACTGGAACCAAAATCGTGATCCATTATTACATTTTCATCGGGCTGTCAAAATGCCTTACGTTAAGGGGAAAGTGGAAGCTTTCACATCTAGTTCATTCATTTTGTAATTTGGATGTAATTTTTACAAAAAAAAAAAATAAGTATAATAGAATATGGTAAAGACCCACTACTAATCTAAAATTTTATATTTGAGTATTTTGGCTTAGTTAGCAATTAATGAACGTTAAATTAAGCTCATTTAACGGTTTTATTTAGCTCGACCCGTACGTAATTTATTTATTATTCCCGTGGTCAGATTGATCCGAAATTTGGTACACACATTTCATTTAGATAACAATACAATATAATAAAAGCAATAACATTTTAAATCTAAGATGGCCGCCGATACAAAATGGCGGATTACATATTTTTCCTTAATCCCCTCAATATGGGTATCAAATGAAAGGACTACACTAGTAAAACACGAGGATTATGTGAAAATTTATTTTTTTTGTAGTTTTCAGTGCACAAAAATAAAACCGTTTAAAACTTATAAGTTTTTTTTACCGCTGTTTATTTTTGTATTATTGTTATAATAAGATTAAGTTAGCACAATTCTTGCTGCCGCGCATACCGCTTTTAGAACTGTGTTTTTATTATCACCGAGGTTACTTGGAAGTGATAGTTATTTAGGTATAAAACCGCTATTTGTCCCTATTTAAATCAATTTTATTTTGTATTATGTTAAACAATAAAGAATATTTATTTATAAAATGTCAAAATAAAAAAGACAATTGTAATTTTTCCAATGTTATAAATGTATTTAAAATTTATAAATTTTCCAACTTATTGTTCTGTATTAATATATAATATAGTCTGTCTGTTTGTTTGTTTTTTAGTCACGGAACCAGATGCGCCGGAGAGGTGGCGGCAGCTCGGGATAATGGTGTTTGTGGTGTAGGAGTTGCGTATCACTCGAAAGTTGCTGGTAAGGCTTTAATAAAATATGTTTAAGAGACTAATTTTGGTGTTTTTTTTTACTTTGATTGAAAGGTTTTTTGTTTGAAGAATTTATACTTATGTAAAGTTATAAAGAAATAACATTTCTACTTTATTTTAGGATATAGGCAGTGTATTTATCATTTACATTCTCAAAACGGCCGCCTCTGTAGCTTTAAATGTATTGCGTTAAGCGTGAGAGACAGTTTCGGCAGAAAACAGAATGCCGATCAGATACATACCTGTAATTAAAATCGATCAGTGTAGATCAGACATGGACCCAGTAATGTATTCGCCCCATGCCCCACAGAGGGAAAAAGGTTTTCACTACATCCTCATAAAGAAACAAAAAAGAAATAGTTTAGTTTCATCTAAGTAGTATTGAAGGCGAGCTAAAAAACAAAAGACCATAGATTAATTAAACGCTGGTCGTAGCTTCAAATACAAAGTATACGAAAGACATATACTGTGTTCATATAGATTGAAAATATGTTAAATTATAATAGAGGTTCTCGTTAGTCTTCATAAAGAGCAATCGGGGAGCTAACATCTCCTGAAGATGCCACCGCTCGTGATGGCGAAACGTCGAGAACCTCTTCTCCCTCACGTCCGCCGAACAGCCCGAAAAACAATGATATGAACGATGGTGGTGAAAGCTTTACACAATTTAGTTTAAATATTGCTTAAGTTTCATCAAATTCTTAATAATACAAAACCCCTTAAGTTTATCGACATAGAATATACAAAGGCGCAATCTAATTCCACACAAAGCTACGAAACGTGTTATTTCCAACATACTTCGTGTAATCCCGCGTTATTTGCGAAATGAACGTGCATCAAATATTGGATTTTCCATTCACGCTGAGTTTCGGCAGAATATGAGCTTTGAGGGACCGTAAAGGCTACCGAATATACGATGAAAGACCATTCAAATATAATTACATATTTATTTCTACATTGCGATAAGCAGTTAGAAGTGTGTTCGAATCCCGGAAAAATAAAAAAAACATGCTTATTAGTCGAGCTGTGTGGGTGTGATCTACTTAAATATATAAAATATACAATAATACATTGAATGGCAATGTGTGGCTATTCAAAGGTGCGTTGGTTCGATCCCAACATTTTTTTTTAATTAATTGAATTTTTGTAGCATGTTGAACTTCGTCTGATATAAATGGGCGATGGAAATATCGAAAATTCCATCCGGTTCACGAACCTCCGTCCAGGTGAAGTTTAATCGCGTTTCAGTTTCAGTCTGCGGATTTCCGAATATCCAAAGTCAAAATAGGCCGACTGCACATCGTGTTGAGATGTTTTATCACTAACCATAAACTGTACCTCATGCTTGTCTTGGGTTATATTAAAAAATCACCGTCTGCATTTAAAAAAAGTGATTTGAGTGATGTCGTGTCAGAGATGTCCTGAACGTCTTTACTGATCGTATTCGCCTAACTTTTTTCTTCCTTCTAATATTGTCGGACTCTCTAAATAGAAGACTTGCCATGTGGTCTCAATTATTCCATGGTTGACATTTCGAAAATCATAAGTATGTAACATAGTTTTTGGAAATTCTTTTTTTGGATTGGATGCATTTTATTTCAATTTAATTTATCTTATTAAAACAAATAGGTGATGCGCTAAGTCTACCTACTTTAAAATCTGTAATTTTTTATGTCAATAGTTTCGATTACTAAATTGTAAGATAAGCTACATCTTTTTAAATAACGTGTGTTGAGGAGCACCTTCAGCGTTATGATTTCAAACCGTCCCGAAGTTCGCAATTTATAGATTTAACATTGGTACGCAGGTGTATCACCCTTCGGGACTTAGTTTCGTTTTTGGGTGTGCTCAGAAGAAAATATACTTACAATGTCTGGACTTGAATAACAGCGAGCTTAAAACCAAATAAATTTTATCGAAGAAAGAAGAAGTTTGAATTTAAAGTATTGTCCGTAGTTTACGTATATAAAACACTTTTTAAAGTTAACACGAAATATGTTACTTCATTTTCCATTAGCTATGGTTTGGCAGCTGCAAGGCATGATTAACAGAAATTTAAATATTGTTAAAGAATATATTTCACGTTCTAAACCGTTAAAAATGTAACTGAACATTAAAATCACAATGACAGAGAAAGAAAACTTAAGTCACGGGGAGACTGCTGAGACTTGCACGGCTGCTGCAAAGAATCCAAACGTCGGGCTGAAGTTATAAATCATTTTCAAATAAGTTTAACCAATATATCGCGTTTTAAACCCTTATTTAAATGTGTACTTTTCGCGTAAACTATTAGACAGTACTTAAGTAGCTAACTGTCATTTAAAATTGACATTGACAATTGACTGATATACACACTTATTGCCATACATGGCCATAAAATCTAAAACTTTCTAGAAGCTTCCGCCGTTCATGGTTCAGCTGGTTATTAAAAAGTAGTTCCTAAGAGTATCAACTTTTCACATCACGTTCTAGCTGTGAGTCAAAAAACTTGTTATCGAGCTGAGTTTTATAGAATAACAAATAGCAAATATAACAGCTTTATATCGAAAAATATTATTATAATCCTATCGCTGGGGTTTTTATCGCCTACTTTCTAAACAAAAGCGTAAAAACTGAACTTAAAGAATGATATTCAAATGTTATATATAAAAATAATCGATCTATAATGATAATGATACATTTATTTTTGACGGTTTAAAACGCGCAATATTTATATGTGAAATCCCGTTTCCTCCTCGTGGGGCATGAGGCGAACCCATTTTCGTGTTCCTTTCACTGATCCGTTCTTTAACAGGCAAGTAGTTGATCGGACTTCTGTGCCCTGCTCAACCGAAACAATTTTTTTGTCTCCTGAGATTCGAACCCAGGACGTCTCGCGTTTAGCGCAATGCGCAGGCGGTGAATATTTATGTAGTTACTTATATATTTCGCGTTTTAAAATAAGACTTTAACTTTTTCTACTTATGCGAGTACAAGTACAAGACAATTTTATATTTTAGTTAAATAATAAAAATACCTAAATTGTGCTTTTATATCTATCAATATTTTATGTAAAATTGAGCTGTTAAATAGCAAAGAGATGAAAAATATTTTTTCTCCAAATTATAGCTATAAAGGTACCTTTCATTAAAACCTTTGGAACACATAAAATTTTTTCACAGACGACATATGTACTATAAAGCAAAGCGTACACAATATATTATGTAATTCACATTTGGGCGAACGTGTTCCTCTGTCCTTACGTCATGTAAAATTATTACGTAAGCAGTAATCACAATTCTGCTTTGTTTGCCGTTTGGATTGGCTGACATTTAATAAAACCGTCGAAACATAATAGGATTATGTGCGCAAATAAAATCACAGGAAAGTTTGGCCGACTATTTTTAATAGTTGTACACGTGTAAAATTATACGCAATAAGTTAATACATTTTACTTCTTATATCCTCTATCTTCTACTATAGTTGTAGGTGTAATACACAATTAACGGTTTAGAACGCGAAATATATAATTAACTAATTACAAAAGGATTCGATAATAACTGAGACAAAACTCTTCTAATTTGAATAATCTAATAAATAATGATTTATTTTATCATATATACGTACTATGTTTAGTAATGAAATAGGGTGAATAATATTTCGTACAATACAATTTCACCTCAACTCCGTCGAAAATATGAGACTGGGATTTCAATTTATTACTCGGCGACAAGATGATTTTTCACGAAACAAAACAACAGAGGAAAAATCCGTGAACTTTCCCGAGTAAAAGACGTTCGTTGTCAATCTACAGCCTCATGGTTAGTTATTATTTAGTTAGAAATGAAAAAAGATTTATTTGGTATATCGCGTCCTGTTTGTTGTTTAGTAGTACACATTTAAATAAAACGCTTTGTTTTAAAACGCGATATATATTAGTTAATTTTATTTGAAAATTATTTTAACTAGGGCTCGACGTTTCGGATGCTTTGCTGCCGTGGTCACGGGGAGACCGATTGATCGACGCCGGGCTGTAGTTAAAAAAAAACTAATATATTCGTTTTAAGCCATTAAAGTGTTGTATTTAAATATCGCGTCATGTGTAAATATGTTGAACAGGGTACGTAATAATTTATGGTAGGTAGCTCAATTCAGAGAACGGAACGCATTCTGGGTTCGAATCCTTTCTGGTATCAATAAAGTGCTCTCTATGTAAAATAAACGTTATATATATTTGTACATTATGATATAAGTGCGGTAAGTTGAAAATTACACCCGAGGCGATATTACTATAATTACAGCGTCGGCTATAAGAAAGCCGACGCTGTAAATTTCAAAGGGCACGCATGTCATATAACGTTTTATAACAGATTTACGAGGAAATGACGACATTTTCAAATAAAAACTATACAGCGAAAAGAAAAAGCGCGCAGAATTATTTTTACTTGTCCACAAATAAGCGATGCGCGCGCATCAACGTTTTTTAGGCAAAGGTACAAAAACAGCCAGTATTACTAATAAAGTAAATTGATATTTTTGTGTTCGTATATCAATTCGCTCAAATTTAGTTTCGGTTTAGTAAAATTAATTATCTATTTAAACATAATTAACCCGCGTTCAGCGTGAAATAGATGAAAACTAATTTCCGAGATTAACAGTAATTTGCTCTTGCTAATTGAATTTTGGTTATCGCTTTTCGAGTAGAATTTAATGCGACGCATCCATTTAGGTATTATTACCATTTAAATATATTTATTATTATTTACACCTACCCAGTAAATAAGTCCCGTTCTACATTTTTATCACACATAAGGTGTTCGCGGCCATCGTTTAGCATATCATTGTCTTTCGGGCCCGAACAGCCCGAAAAATAAGTTAGTAAGTAAGTATTAAGTCCGAAAAGTAAGATAGTGGTGTTTGCTAAATAATAAAGCTATAATAATTAAGTTAAAATATGTGTTTATTACTTACATTAAAAGGAAACTTCTTATTCATATTAATATTAAAACTATTCTTTACTAAACTATAGCCATGATTAAGTGCCGACCAATGCTTTAAGAGCAAGAGATGCTGGGTTCGGATTCTGGGGAAAAAAATACATTTCGACATGCCCGACCGAAAGGATGGGCCCAGAAATCTGTCAAACTACTTGCCTGTAAACAAACGTTTAGTGAAACGGACACAGAAATGTGCCATGGGAACAGGATTTCGCGCACACACGCACATAATACTTGGTTCAAGTCCTGCCCGAGAAATTTTTTCAATTTATTTTCAATTTTTAAATTATATTATGCCTTCATGTGCAATGACATGTAAAATATATTTTTCAATTAAAAAACCCTGTCTCAACCCTATTGATGATTTATTAATATTGATTTTACTAGTTTAGATAGTTGGTTACTTAAAATAAAATAAATAAAGCAAGAAAAAAAGAACTTAATAGCATGTTAATTATATTTTATCAGGTATTCGAATGTTGGACCAGCCTTACATGACGGATCTGATAGAAGCGAACTCGATGGGCCACGAACCCCACAAAATCCACATCTACAGCGCCTCCTGGGGACCAACGGACGACGGTCGAACTGTGGACGGACCGAGGAATGCAACTATGAGAGCCATAGTCAGAGGTGTTAATGAGGTATAGTGTTTTAATATTGCTTCGTTACGTAACGCGTTATGGGGCCAGATTGTCGGGCATTCCATTCTTTACGCTTGCAAAAGTGTTTACTGGTCACTTTAATTTTAAAGTTTACAACATGTATAGAATAACTTTTGACCCGAGGTTTTGGATGCTTTGCAGCAGCCGTGGTCACGGGGAGTATCCTAATAGTAATTAATAATATAGTAACAATATACATAAATAAAATAATATCAAAAAATTGTAAATTAGAAACGCCGTACTAAAAATATCTCATTTGACTTTTTGACAATTTTTTAAAATATACTAAACGAACTTTTCTTATATTATTTATTATTATCTCTACAACTATACAGACAAACTATTTCTAATAGGCAATTGTTAATAATAGTATAGATTGCTGTGAACTCGTGATATTAATAACGATGTCATTTATATAATTGTACCTAGTAATCCTAAATGATCTATTCCTTATACCTTTATACCTTAGTAAGTATAATAAATAAGGTAACTACACCTTATTTATTATACTTACTAATATATAAAGGTGAAGAGTTTGTTTGAACGCGCTAATCTCGGGAACTACGGGTTCGAATTGAAAAATTATTTTTGTTATTGTGTTGGTTGGAGCGTTTATCGAGGAAGGCTATTAACACATCTTACATCTCGCTGGAAATGTGAACAAAACGGAGGAAAATTTTCATCTCTGTGGGTTTCAGATGCGTACGCTGGGAAAACGGTGCAAGACACCGAAAACATATGTACGAGAGAATGATTTCTCTTTCAGTGATCTAAAAAATGTCAGTGACACTATACGTCTACTCGTAAGACTAACTTGCAAGAACGACGAGACAAGACCGATGTCGTGGGCAGCTTAAATTTATAAAGATGTAGATGGTTTGCAAAAACAAATTTGGACACCTAAAATAACTATGCTGCGCGGACGAAGTCGCTGACACAGCTAGTGATTTATAAAGCTACAGACTTGCTCCTATAAAATAACATTTTCTTTCTCTTACCAATCGTTGTATAACTGCTTCGTAGTGAACACGATGTAAGGAATAACGATATTAACGATTCTTGACAGAAGCCCAGCAAAGGTCAGCAATAATTTAATCAGAGGCAGACGAAGTTGCCAATCAATCCTCTATTTAATTAGTTATTGGATAAGTTTATTACTTTATTCCTTTACTCTAAGAGTATTGATTGATATTTTTATCTAGAAGTATATCTGTAAAATAGAACAGCGGAATGTGTGGCTAAGAGGAAGTTATATAGGGTTTACAAATATAGAAAATGTCTGAAAATTCCAAACTTCTCTATACAGCTCAATATTTAAAAGTCAATCCGAACTGTAAATATTAGAAAGTTTAAAATTTAATGAAAATATTCGGACAAAGCGAAACAATTCAGTGACACGAACCTCAAATATAAAACGTAATTTAGAATGAGGGATGATAAAATGTGTATCTATCATGTAAAACTCTAATATACATTGCACTAAAAGTGTGTGAAATCCAGTTTCCTCTCGTGGGGCATGGGGCGAACATATTTCTGTGTCCGTTTCACTGATCGGTTTTACCGACAGGCAAGTAGTTGATTAGACGTCTGTGCCCTGCCCCGGAACAATTTACTGTTTGAAAGAAAGAAAGAAAGAAAGAAAAATTTTATTTACTACTAGGGCACATAAAAACACATGTTACACTTATTACTAAACATAAAAAAAACAAAACATAATTTTGTCTTAACAGTATAACTTAATATAACAAGTTAGGATAATGTTGTGTGCTGCTAGTAGAATAGGATCTTCCTCAGTTTATATCAGGCTTTTTTGAGTGTGGACAGCGGTGCCACACTCAAGTTAAAATAAACAAAAAAATAAAGTTGCTGTTGTACAAATAAAAATACAGTAAAATTTACAAAGAAAAAGTAAGACAAGCTGCATAAATAGAAAAAATAATTGTTCCATTCCATCTACATAATATGGTTCAGGGTTCAATATTATAGGTTTCCACTGACAGCGCCATCAACGCCGGTTTTTTGTAACGATAGCAAATATTCTTTGTACCGTCTCTTAAAGGTGGTAAGTGCTATTTTAGTCCTTAACGGGGGTGGTATATTGTTCCAACACTTGGTGGCACTATAAGTGAAAGCCCCGTGGAAAGCAGCCGTTCCGTGGGCGGGAACGCTTAACATATACAATGACGCCCGGGTGAAGTGTGTAGTATTATAGTCACTAGCCCAATGGAGCTTTTGATATAAATAGGTAGGGATCTTATATTTAATTACACCAAAAAGGAGGGAAGCAAAATGCAATTGTCTACGCAAATTCATTTTAAGGATATTATTATTATTTAAATATGGAGTAACATGAGTTCGTGGTGGTATGTGAAAACAATAACGTGCACAGGCATTCTGTACCCGCTGTATTAACTTTTTTGATGTTGAGAGTAGGCGAGGTCCATACACTGAGTCAGCATAATTAAATTTGGATAAGACCAGGGACTCGCAGATATTAACACGTAAGTTGACATTCAAAGCGTTTCTAATTTTATACAGCACTTTTAGACGGTAAAAACAATTCCTTACTGTATCAGATATATATTTTTCAAAACGTAGGTGCTCATCAATAGTAATCCCCAAATAACGTGCAGTTTTAACCCTTTCGATAGTCTTTCCTTTGACTTCTATATTGATGTCATTAGCAGCTATATCTGTTATCTGCTTTTTAGTACCGAGTATAATAAATTTCGTTTTATCTGGATTAAGAACTAAACAGTTAGATTCTGCCCAGGCCGTCACTCGCTTTAAGTCATTATTAATCTGATCAATAGCAGATCTTGCTTCATTTGGCTTAAAAGAGATATACAGCTGTATGTCATCTGCATACATGTGGAATTTACAATTGTGGATATGCTTCTGTATATCCGCTGTATAGATGTTGAATAGAGTTGGTCCTAGAATAGAGCCTTGAGGTACGCCCCTCAGCACACGTTTTTGTTGTGATCGAAGAACAGCACCATTGTCTTTTTTTATCTCAACCCTCTGACTACGGTTTCTTAAATAAGTATCGAACCATTTTATTGTGTTTTGGCTAAATCCATAATGACGTAGCTTGGCAATCAAAATATCCAAATTTAAACAATCAAAAGCTCTAGAAAAGTCTAAAAGAACCATTATTGTTCCATTGCCTTTATCCTGAGAGCAGATTACTTCATCTAAGACGCTAAGTAGGGCTGTAGTAGTACTACGTTTTTTTCTAAACCCTGATTGTACAGCTGGTAGAATAGAATTCGCTTCCACAAACTCCGTTAATTGATTACTAACAATCTTCTCTAGTACTTTGGAAAGGCAAGAAAGCAAACTAATAGGTCTTAAGTCCTTTACTTCTGATGGATTAGAATTCTTCGGGATTGGTCTAACGACTGATTCAGTCCACGAAGATGGAAAAGTGTTGGTCATAATAGAATCATTTATTATTTTTGTGATAACTACTTCTGAATCTGGTAAAGTTGAGAGCAACATATCAAGTGATATCCCATCAGATCCGCTGGCATTAGAATGCAATGACCGAAGCACTTTCAAAACATCTTGTCCATTGATGGGTGTCAGCTTAAATGACTTATTGATCGCTCTCCTCTCCTGTACAATATCTAAAACTGACGAAGATACAAAGTCTGAACCGGGCACATTTAAGAATGCATCGTTTATTTCATCTGGATTACTTAAGTGTTCTGGAAGTGGAGTATCATTTTTATTTTGAATATTAATTGTATTTTTAAGATGTTTCCAGAGCTTACGGGGGTTATTGTAATTCTTGTTAATATATTGGTCAAAATAGGCCTTTTTTTCGGTAGCGATAGCGGTGTTGACAATATATTTCAATTCTTTGTAGACTTGAATGTGACTTTCGTCTCGAGTTTTGCGCGCCCTATTATGAGCTTCATTACGTCTCTTCATAATTTGTTGAACATTGTAAGTAATCCAGGGATAGTGGTATTCTTTGACAGTGGTAATTTTTAAAGGTGCTAAACTATCATATATTCTGAGTAGTTCGTTAGTAAATTCAACAACAGTAGTGTTCAGGTCATCGATGTTTAAAAGGCGATGCCAATCTATTTGATTAATTGGACTCGTAAAGTAATTGGGATCAACTTTATATATTTGCCTAGAAAGTCTTTGAATTTTAACATTTTTAACTTTTTTAATTGGAATATGACAGACTATAAAAGCGTGTTTACTTAAATCTCTGATATGTTCAACAGATATCGAGCAAGACCTGAAATTCGTACAAACTATGTCAATAAGTGTCTCGCTATGATCGGTTATATGTGTGGCTTCCTCTACCTTTTGTTTTAACCCTGTCCAGTCAAGAAATTTATTTAAAACAGTAGACTCGTATGAATCCTGGTTCAAAACGTTAACATTAAAATCACCCAACAATATAGTGTGGTCAGCCCAGCTAAAGAGCTCCAGTGATTCACTAAGTGCGTTCAAAAAAATATTTAAATTGAGCCAAGGGGGGCGATAGGCGGTGCCAATAAGTATTTTTTTAGATTTAATTGTTGTGCTTATCCACATTTGCTCCACCCTATCCGATGCGGGATGATTCAAAACGCGAACTGAATTATTTCGTTTAATAAAGAATCCCACACCTCCTCCTCTACTCCTTACAGCTGTAGGACGGGGTAGGTGAATGAGGCGATAGCCGGGAATGCGAGGAGCTCGCCCTTCTTCGCCAGCTCTGAGCCACGTTTCGTTAATAGCCATTATATCGATATTGTGACTTGTAATGGCGACAGACAACTCTTCGTGGTGTGTTCCCAGTGATCCCGGATTCAACATACCAATTTTCATGTTAAGATGGAAATTGAAGATTGTAATAATTAAAAATAAAATTATATGTAATTTTTGTAAATGGTAATGGTGGAATTAGGAGTATATAGACAGATTTATAGTATGCAGCCTTAAAAAATGAAATGAATTCATAAAATTTAGTTCCTTTGTTAGATTTTTTTTCATGTGACCAAAAAAGAATGAATTCATTATGTCCATTAAATCGCATCACAAGCAAGGATTCGCAACACAACATTTTACTATTACAGTGTACGCTTAAACTAGAAATGTAAACATAGATTACAAACAAAGAGACATTATGTAAGTAATTGTACCTAACGACAGTAATATTATTTAAAGCGCTTCGCAGCGCGAAATACATTAGTTCTACAGATGTTGTCAACTCTGACCAATGTAATAATTGCATTACCGCAATTAATGTATACGTCATAAAATTACAATATAAAAGTAGCTCGTAACTGCAACTATTTACAATGTCAATAGACCTCAAAATGTAATTGAATATGCCATCTATATCGTAATATGCAATATGAGTGTGTAATATGTACGGTAAATACCAATTTCGGATTATACAAAAACCGACTGAATATCCTTTTCGCAAATAATGCGCCGGACTCGAGCGGTTGGACTTTGTCTAGCGAGGACGCGACCGTCGCGTGTCCAGACATACTTCCACCCACTTTCTACTGCTGCCTGTTTCGCCAGAGAAAATAAATGTTTATCATAGCGCGTAAGCCGCTCATTAAGGTAAATTTTACTGGGGGGCGTGTCGCTGTTCAAGTTCAGTCCGGTAGTGTCGATATCCCGCCGCACGCGCGCACTATGTAGTATTTCGTCTCGGGTTGAGTGACGTAGTAAGCGGAGAATTATAGGACGCGATGTTTGCCCGACAGGTTTGCGCCGGAGCCCCAATCTCTCTGCAAAAACAACGTCCTTTTCTTCCAGGGTCACACCAATTTTGTGAGCCACTGAGGTCGCCAAATGCATTGCATTTTCGCCCTCCTCCTCGGGAATGCCGCTAAGCACAATGTCGCAACGGAGGGATAATCTGTCGCGTTCATTTAGTTCCTGCTTAAGTTCGGTGATTTTTTCTCGTAAACTTTCTTCTAAATGTGTTGGCCCTGAACTTTCAAGGGATGTAATTCTTTCCTCGGTAGTTTTCTCCAGTTGATCGACACGGTTTTCGACTCTTTCAATACGAGAATTGAATTCGTTCAACAACACAGTTAACCGCGACATTTCTTGTCGGAAGAGTGAGATTTCACGGGTGACGTTCGAGAATTCCTCCCGCAGCTGAGTTATGTTTTGAGCGACGGATAACTCTTCCGCATCACAAAGACCAGGTGAGGATTGCACAGAACCGCTGGAACCATCTGAACCGGCTGCCGACATGTTTTTGTTTACGTTTGTTTTTGTTTTGCAATTTTTGCAAAGCGAGCGCGCTGCACTTTTCGTATCCGGGTTGCTATTGAACATACACGAACGATGACCCTTTAGAGTGCATTTAAAACACTTTACACACTCAGACATTGATACGAATTTGCCGCAAACACAACAGTGGGTCGTCATTGTTAAAGTTTTGTCACGATGTAATATGTAGGTAGACGAAAGTAGTTTTATGTATTGTTCGGCTTAATTTAGGCTTATTTCACGAAACTAGGTCTGAACTGTATAATAAATCGATAATTCGGCGTTACACTGCACTTATTAATTCACTTATTTAACTGCACAACAGTTATTTATATTTTTAATAGCAATATTAAAAGTAAACACTTGTTTGTGTCAACGCTGTCAAACACCGTCTCCCCTGTTTCTCCGGGACTTGACCCCAGGACCCCTCACGTTATTGCGTTAAATTTATTATTATCGCGCCACCTCTTCTCGTGGTGCCTTTTGCTAGAACGAACTTAATGGCAAAGGCACAATGGACGAGGACGGTCGAGGTCCTAAATGTTTTGCACAAAAAAGCAGATATTTTTTACAGTCCTTGGGGTGAACTCACAAATACATTAAAGTTTATTTTGAGTTATGAACGATAGTTTGGTTTAAGTTCATATATATTTGTTCTATCATATATAATTATATGGTTTAGTTTTTAGATCTCTGTCGCATTGGGATCCAACCTGTTATGACAGTGCATATATGTAAATAAATGTAAATAAAATAAATAAATAAATTATTGCGCTAGGCGACACGTTTAACCATTTAGCTGCAGATTGTAGTAAAAGTACTAGTATATAATAAAATACTGTCTATAGTTTACGCGAGTAGTGCATTTTAATTAATTTTGTTTTATATTTGTCGAAAGATTGTGCATAGTACGTACCTAAGCAAAGAATAAAAATAAATAAATTTTATATAATGTTATTTAATATATTCTTTGCTTACGCCTAAAGTTTACTACAAAAATAAAAACACTATTTCTTTAACTTTAGAAAACATGTTTTCTCTGTAACATAAACAACTATACCTCGAAGGCATATGCAAACGACTATATGTACATATAAATCGTCTATTTTCATAATTCTATTCATACGTTGATAAAACTATGTTACCTCGCTAAACCCATGAATTTATTACCATATGCTTAAAACTATATTGATGTTAAATTCTTGGACAACAGTTGAGTTATTATATGAGTATAGCGTTGGTCTTTTGTCCACTCAACATAATTTTTAGACAAATTTTAGGCAATTCCGTTTCTCTATATTAATGTGTATATCACTAGGCGCGGCATTTGCTAATCACTTTTCTTGCGACTTAAAAATCTTCGTTAGCTAATCAAGCGCTTTTTTCTTAAGTATAGTATTGACCCGACGTTTAGGCCATTTAGTAATAACAGTTGTCACGGGGGGACTAGTTAAACCACCTCTTTCTTTAGAACTCAAAAGAAATTAAGTACATCAACAGTTGTCGTTGCAGAATTTCTGTTCCATCCAGGCAGTAAAAAATACAGGTCAGAGTTTTATGAGTTTTAAATTTGTAACAAATTCTACCAAATCACAGTAATAGATACGACACTAAAATAGCAGAATATTAGATAAACATATTATAATCACAACTGGTCTATTTGATTCTGAAATTATTGCCTTACGCGAGTAGTATATATTAATAAAACCGTTTTATCGGTTAAAAACGAGAATACTATGAGATAAATTAACTCGCAGTTTCTTATTTTAACTTCGCCTTGACGTTTCGGATGCTTTGCAGCAGCCGTGGTCACGGGGGACTGAAGATGGATGGTGACCCTAATGTCAAAGTGCAGCTTTGACTTTTACATTACAGAAAGTTTAGTCGTACGTAAGCCGTATTTTACACTGTTAAAAGTATTTTATTCAAGTATTACACTCTATTTTTAAGATTCCATAGCAAATATGGTTTTTTGAAACCTGTTCACTCCAACAGTCCTTTAGATCCTAGAAATACTTGCTCAGACCGATTTCTGAAAGATTTTTTCTTGGTAAAACGTTTGTGGTAAGACGTTTCTGTTTACTTTATCGGCATATTCAGGGATAAGGGCTTATGGTATAGACTTATTTCGCGGTACATTAATTTTGGGCCGCTCCTTAGAAATGTTTGAAAATAAATACTTCTTACAAACGATAGCGTTATAAAGTTCTATATTCAAAGGTAAAAACGAAACGCTACGGTACGAGGTTTTAGTAAGACTTAGTTGTTTATTGGCAGGTTTTGTTTTAAGAAACTTGAGGGTAGAAAGATATTTTTTGCAATTAATATATACGTCTGTTGCCGCTATAACCAACAATTGTAAAAACATGCACCTTCAATGGGCTAATATGGAAACGCGATTTTTGTTCTATATTTTTTTACTTTTTTTGTAATGATTTTCTTCTTTCGAATTTAATATAACATTTGTTCAAACAGTTAGATTTTTATAAATGTTGAACATAAACATTAAAATACAAAACTTTCAACAGTTTAAAACGCAAAATAAAACTAACTAATATATTTCGTGTTTCATTTAGAGTACAAATTTAACAAGTAAACTACAGACGTAAAAATTATTATTGTACATGATAATTAAAAAATAATAATATCTAAAGTTTAATACAATGTATAAAAATATTAAGAGCTAAGAATTAATATTAAATGTCATGAAATATCAGTGAAATTATTGCTCCTATTATTCGACATAAATTAAATATCACTATAAATTAAACATTCGATGTCACTCCTGGGACTTGAACTAATTGTTAAAATAGAAAAATATATTAATCTAAATAGATTTTTAATTTATTTGATGCCATCATGTGCAATAAGATGAGAAGAAAAAGAAATGGGCAATCTACAAATCTACACTATAACAAAAATTATCTGTAGCAGTTATTGTAAAATCTAACTATAGGCATCCTACGTCTATGCAAATAGTCCTTGGGTGTTTGAGAAAAGAAAACTAACTAAGTATTAAAACAAAAGGCAGTTTGCCCTGACGCTGCAACAAAGGAGCAAAGCCTTGTTCAAACTATCCCTAAGCCCGCAGCTATCATTTCCGCTTAATGAAAACTGAAAAACGAAGGTTTACGAGCTTCCTGCGAAAAATGAGGGTTTGAAATTGCTTTCACTTTGAACTCACGGAACGGTGGAAGTTATAATGACATTTTTATAATTGTTACAGCAAACTTATAGGCGTCGAACACGAAGCGATATAAATCCTAAATTCGATATATTATTTGTAACATTCTGCGCTTGCAGCAAAACTATTAAATGCTGGATTTAATTCAATCTAGCTCTAGTTCTATCTAGCTTCAATCTTCTAATCTAGTTGATTACTTAAATTTAATTTAAGCTGAGACTAAGAAAATTTGACATTTTATTTAACTAACAAATAACGGGTCGTGGCGTAGATCCCCACCAAAGTAAAAGTGAAATCCCATTTCCCCCTCGTGGGGCATGGGGCAAACACATTTTTGTATTCGTGTCACTGATCCGTTTTTTAACAGGCAAGTAGTTGATCAGACTTCTGTTCCCTGCCTGACCGAAACAATTTTTTGTTCAAAAACTTTACTATTTTTTACATGTTATTTACGGAACGCTGACGATGCCGGTTCAAGTCCTGCCCGAGTCGAAAACTTTTCGACGACGACGACGATATTTTCCGTTCGGGCGACGAACCACCTTTCACAAATTAAAAGCTGTCATGTGTAATCACGATTTTGTTTCAATCTGTGCATTTCCGAATATCCAAAGCCAAGACAGCGCAACTTGCTTACAGGTTACAAAGTGTTTGTCATCCTCTATAATAGAAAAACCCGTACAACACTTAACAAAGGTGCAACTATACTTGTACCCCATACCCCACGTGCCCTCGGGACTCATTAAGCTATGTTGGCAGGGTCGCAACGGTCTTGGCAACATTTACGTGTGGGCGAGCGGTGACGGAGGGGAAGACGATGACTGCAATTGTGACGGCTACGCTGCGTCCATGTGGACTGTGTCTATTAATAGGTAAGCACTTAAGGCAAATTGTACACTAGCCTCATAGTTGCGTAGTAGTGCGGTACATAACATATTTTGAAAATAATAAATAACAAGATTTTATTGCGAAATGGGGTAAAAAGGGGGGTTAAAGTTTGTATGAAAATTTGTGGTTTTTGGAGCTACAACAATGAAACTTTCTTCTTTGGTTTTTTGGGAATAGAAGTGGGAGTTGGAGTGAGTGTGAAAGTGTGAGTGGGAGTTAGAGTAGGAGTGATGTGAGGTGAGATTGTTGCGGCAAAGTAGCACTTACCTACTTTACTTATTTACTTATTGGCTGCCTTAAATGCGCCCTTACATAAATTAATATAATAAATAAATAATTAAAAATTATAGCCCAATTCACTATTTCACACGGACAAAGTCGCGGGCACAGCTATTTTTCATTTGTATGAACAAAATTATTCTATACCCACCGGTTATAATGAAGTCGTTTATTCTAAGTGCAATCAATGACGGTCAAAACGCCCATTACGACGAGTCCTGTTCATCCACCCTCGCCAGCACCTTCAGCAATGGTGCACGAGATCCAAGCACCGGTGTCGCTACCACAGATCTATATGGGAAATGTACTGCGACGCATTCTGGTACTTCTGCTGCAGCGCCAGAAGCAGCTGGTGTCTTTGCTCTAGCTCTTCACGCAAAGTTAGTTCGTAGAATGCTTTTAATATATGAAGTTTGAAAAGAATAATACATAGCTAAATAGCTAAACATTATACCTAGACTAAAAATTGCTCAAAATCTGTGCCCTGCCATTCCGAAATAATTGCTTCCCTGGATTCGATTACTTTTACACTTGGTGTAACCCTAGGCAACGCGATAATAAGAAAACGACACAAACTATTAAAAACCTGTAGCTCAGTGGTTAAAAGTCCTGAGTTCGAAACCCCGGGAAAGAGGGGATTGTTACGGTCGGACAGAGCACAAAAGTTTGATCAACTGTAAATAAAACCGTTCAGTGCAACGAATATAATGTTGTGAACCTTGTGCCCCGCAAGAAAAAACGGCTAAGAACCATGATTTTCCTAAGAAATATAGAGTTCATGTTTAAAATAACTCGAGCATACTTATATATTCACAAAGAACTTTCTTTTCTAAATAAAATCTCACTTTAAATGCGATTCAATTACCATATATTTAAATATTTATAACATCACTTCTGTATTGTTTTGCTTACATTTCTTTATAGATTATTCAATAAGAACTAAGCGCAAACATATCTCAAGTTTTACGCAGAAATAAATCTTTTAGACAGTTTAATTTGTTTCAAAAATTCTCAATTGTCAGTGGAAATATATATATATATATATATATATATAAGGGTTTTTATATGCAAAATCAAACTAATTATTGTAGAATTTCTAATCTTAAAGTATTTGAATGTTTTTATAGCAATCTGAATTTACACATTTTTCAATAATATTGTACAAAAATTGCCTGAAACGGCAAAATCTGTTAGTTAATTAATTAAATACTGTCTGTAGTTTAATTAATTAAATAGAACACTAGTGGTTTAAAACGGGATGTTAAACTTATTTTGAAATTATTTTACTACAGCCCGAAATTTCGGATGCTTTGCTGCAGCCGTGGTCACGGGGAGACTGCAAAATAAATTTCCAAATAAGTTTAACTAATATACATCGCGTTTAATCCGTTAAATTTGTTTTATTTAAAAGTATTAATTGATGTTAAATTTGTGCGTATTTGTGAACTATTGTAATAAGATTAAACCGATGCTCTTTTGTTGATAGTGTAAAGAAAACATAAAGCATAATGTTCTACTTCTTTCTTTAGTCCCAGCTTAACATGGCGCGACATCCAGCACTTAACAGTCTTGACTTCCAAGAGGAACTCATTATACGACGCTAAGGTAAGTCGCTAATGACGCACATGTAATTAAAAAAGTTGGAGAAAAGGTATTTGTTTCATTTTCATATTCATTTCTTATAGACAAACATTTATATTTAACATTTTTCATTTTAAATACTGTCTCTAGATTACGCGAGGAGTGCACATTTAAATAAAACACTTTAACTGTTTAAAACGCGATATATATTAGTAAAACATATTTGAAAATTATTTTAACTACGGCCCGACGGTTTGGATGCTTTGCAGCGGCCGTGGTCACGGGTTCCCCGTTACACATTAATGTTTTATTTACATTACTAATTTTATTCGTTTTGCCCAGTTCGATTCCTATGCACAAATATTCTTATAAATTTAACTCGAATTGTACTTTCATGACTTAGATTATATCTATTATCCCTCTAGTTTCATTAGATTGCATTTATTTGTTAATGCTAAAATTATTATTGTAATAAAAAACATCATAGCATAAACCAATAAAAATACAATTATTACAAAGTTCCTTATTAAAATTAAAAAACTGTCCAAATTACATTATTTAAATACTCATTACAAAAATCCATTGAACGGCTAGACCGATTTGTATGGAATTTTCGGAGTTTTTGAAGCTTATTTTCTATTTATTAATTAATCCTACAGGGTCGTTTCCATTGGACAATGAACGGTGTGGGTTTGGAGTTTAACCACCTCTTCGGCTTCGGTGTGTTGGACGCTGGAGCGATGACTGCATTGGCTGCGAATTGGAGATCAGTCCCACCACGATACCACTGTGAAGCCGGCTCTGTTAATACACATACGTATGTATTAAGATTAGTCTGTTGGTGCCTTTTTAAAATCAACATTTACATAGGAGAATTAAATATTATTCAATACAAATACAAACTTCTTAATTGTCAAAATAATATTGTTACGTTTGGCACTAGCAACATTAACGTCCCGCGTGGCTAAGTGATAGGTAGAAAGGATTTAACATAATAAAATAGTTTAAAAAAATTAATATACGATAAATGTTAAATCCTTCATTGACACTAAAATGCTTTGTGGTATTGTTACTTTATACAAAGGGTTATTTATATAAAAATCACCTTTTCCATAACCTGTATATTTTGTGCCACTACTTTTCAAAGTAAAAGGTTTTCAACTGTAAAGCAAAACCATATCAATAGAAAATTTGAACGAAAAATACGTGAATCATTAAGGAACCTATTTGGACATAAGTTCAAATAGGTCGGTAGTTTAGATGTTATGCGAGAGAGAGTGCTTAAGAGTCTTGATGTGTATCCAAGTGTTTGTTTCTTTCCAGTGAAATACCGACAGATGGCAGCGTAACGTTGCACATTGATACCGGCGCCTGCGCAGGTACACCCAGCGAAGTCCGATACTTAGAGCATGTGCAGGCTGTGGTTAGTGCAAATGCAACACGGCGTGGTGACCTGGAGTTCTTCCTGACTAGCCCTATGGGTACTCGGTGAGTACTCAATTAAATTGTTTTCAATGTCACAGGAGAATCCTGAACCATCTGAGTTGCTATGACGATATAGTACTGCGTGCTTCTGGTATATTTGAAGGGAAGATTACAAAAAAACATGCTTGACTCTAGCAGGGTTCGAACTTGTAACTGACAAAATATTTCTAATTCTTTTTTTAAAAACTTTCATATTTTTCATATGTATTGCACATGATGGCACTATATAGAACGCTGTGGAAGTCGTTTCAAGTATTTTTTTTTTTCAATTTATAATTGGTTTTTATATTTATATTATTATTTCTTTTATTATTATTAATTTTCCATAGTATTATTTTTTATTTTATTTTCAAACAAGGGTTGTCTGGCAGAGATTACTCTATAGCAATGTCGCCTATTATATACAAGTTATGAAGTAATATATTATATATAATACTTAATAACTTGTAATAATAATCTTCCCTCAAAAGTGGACTATTTTATGGTTACTCCTGACACAATGTTTTGTTTTAAATTAGTCTATGTATTTTGGCTAATTGATTTTAGTGATGGAACTGATTTAACTGAAGTAATATTTATAATAATATCTTAAGTAAGCAGGTATTTGGATGGATTTAATCATTAATACTGCATAGGAATGTATGTCTTGAACTCCGAGTTATTTACTCGATTAATTTTCTTTTGTACAACTATCTCTTCACAGATCAATGATACTGAGCAGGCGATCCAATGATGACGACGTACGAGATGGCTTTACCAAGTGGCCCTTCATGACGACACACACTTGGGGAGAGTACCCGCAGGGGACGTGGACTCTGGAAGTAAGTACAAGAGGAACGTTCTTGTAATTAACCTATTTTAAATGATAGAAATCAAAACTTTTTTTCTTAATTCGAATTCAGAACTTTTTATTGCCCTTCTAACGTATTTACAGTAAGCTTATAACTTCTAAATTGCGGAAATCAATAATACATAGATAACAATGGCAATCGGTACCAGTCTCAGCTGTGCTGCTGAATGCTTGTAATGCTTAGCAGCGTTAATTTTCAAAGTGGCCCGGGTGTGTGAAGTTTATAAGATAAATTTATGTTTGGTTCACTTGATGGTCGCTGAAATAATCCAGCTATATACTGAACTACATGTGTTGTCGACCTATTTTGACTTTTGGGAAATCCAGAGACTAAAAACGAATCCGAAACTTCACGACTTTTTCATTTGTGAACCGTGGTGGTGACCCGGACAGAATTTCGATATTCCTACCACCTTTCAATATCTAGATTTCCAGACGAAGTCCAACATGTTTTAGAGCGATTTAAAATTGATTAGAAAAATTTTTGGACCCGAAGGGATGGAAGCCACGACCCCATAATTTATGTTATCTTTCAAGGCTCGTTTCAACGGTGGTTCCGGGCCCAGCTCAGCATCAGGTTGGCTCCGAGGTTGGTCGTTAGTCCTCCATGGGACAAGGGCGCCGCCCTACGCCCAACTGCAACCGAAGGACCCCCACTCAAAGCTCGCTGTAGTCAAGAAAGCGCACGAAGACAACGCACTTAACAAATAAGCTTATTCGCGTACATTTTCGTTTTTTATTTTTCGAAATTGCAACACGTAAGGAATTACGCCCTCAGTAACAATTTCAAAATTCGAAAACACCTTACTTACAATATATATGTATTTATATATACGTGTTCGAAATTTGAAAGTAAGTCTAGTGTTCGTATGTATAGCAAAGTAAAATATTTCTTACAACAAGTAACAAGTTTTACTATAAATAAAAAACACTTAAACGGGCTAAAACGGGCTAAAAAAACGTCGGTTGGCCATTGCATATTGTGCATTAGTACTCATTAAGTATTTCTTTATGTATTCCATTCTAGACCTACTCCATTTGAAACTTTTAAATTAAAGATTAAAATGAGGACGTAATAAAAATATATTTAAAAACTGTAAACCTATGTAGGTAAATCGAGTTTCAGTAAACATATTTCTTACGTGTTGCCATGACTTCCGGAATATTTTAATAATAATATGTGCTTTATTTATTTTTTTAATATAACTAAAAGTGTAAAAGCTCTAAAGTTCAAATAAATTCGCAGGTAAAAATATATTTTTTAACGCGCTGTGAAACGCAATGATTTATTATTAATGTAACATTTTTTAATTTGGAGGGAATATTGAAGTTTATTAGTTATTTTAAAATCTTACTTCTGTAGCTAAATCTAGTGTTATTTATTGAAAGACAAACAATTTAATTTGAGCTTAAAATTAAAATTAAATGTTGTCCTTCTTCCTTATAGATCATGAAGAGCGCAGAACATTACTATTTAAATAACATATCAACTTCGAAAGAGCACAAAATTACATACGGAAGTTGAGCAAGATTTATAAAATATTAAATTGACTTTCTACATAAAAATATTTATCTTTAATGTCAAGTACACATCTTTAAACCCAGCTAAGGGTGTGTACGTGGCGATTAATATAAGTGCTCTGTTTAAACAATACAAGTTATCAATTTTGTTTATAACTCTTAAATTCTTTTGGCACTATATCTCAAAGCCAAACATAATTCTCCCGCGATACTAATCTTAGATTTCGTATTAAGAGTTGTCTTTCATAATCATTGTAAATTAATCGTTACAAGTATAAATATTTAAATATAAACTTTCTTTTGGGCCCAGCATGAAACTATCATAGAAAACTTCTTAACGTTATTCTTTGTAAGTTTCGAATCGATTAAGTAAACACAAAGACGTTTTATATTGGGCAAAAAAGTAGTTTTAATACAAATTAGTATAGTCGATAAGCGCAAAACATATAAAGAGAAAATCTATTATGTATTATTATATAGAAAATATAATGTGATTTGGTGTTGTATTTGAATTAAAACAAGTTTTTCTAATTCATATCCTTTCCCTTTTTTACCAACTCTAATATAACCCCTTTTATTCGATCATGGGTTTATTTATTAGTACGATTAAACACGAAAAGTTCCAGACCTGAGGAACATCGCTTTAGTTGGGCAGAGTCTAAGGTGCTATTTATATATCATGTAAGACGATCTGAAGGAAAGGGGCGTCAGCACTATCTTATTTTTTCTTACAAGGGGTTGGGAAGGCGATAGTTCTTATCTAAGATTGATTATTACGTGAGATTATTATTGAGTGAGTTTAAGCCTCTGGACTGAAAATCTTATGATGGTAAAGATTTTGAGATCTATGATTTGTAAATGGATTGTTTGAAAATTGGTAAATTGGTAAAAATCAAAGTTAACAAAAAGTATTAACACGATTCTAACAGAAAAATAATACTAAGATTTTTTCCTTGAGATTCGTAAGCAGTAAATATTTAATAGAGAAAAGGTAATTGAACCTATTCTTATAACAGGGGTCGAAAACTTGCCCTGTAAATGAAATGAATACCCCCTAATCAACAGAAATAATAGCCAAAATTCTAGGTCCCACTCGATAGGAATTATTAAATATTTTCCCCCGGGGTTTAAACCTAGGATTGATAAAAATTGCTTTTATAAATAGATCTTTATTGCTTATAATAAACTTAACAATTGATTGGCAGCTCTAACAATCAGAAAAAAGCCTAATACTTATTAGTTCTGTATGGGATAAAAATGGTAATTTTAATACATTAATATGTGATAAGCGAACAGTCTTATTTAATAACCTTATCCAATATATAAACACTATTTACATTGAAACGTTTCTGAAGTTTATGAAATCGAGGCACTTTTTAAACACATTACAATCTTAATGGTCTCTTATAAGACTATAATATCAATGATAATTTCGAGAAACTACAGTAGCTTAACTATTCCTCTCTTGTATGTACACAACGGCAAAATATAACGTTACGTTATTATATAATCCTTATTAACTAGACCCAAATAGGATGACGTTTATTAAAAACATTTTTAAGTTTGTAATGGAGAGTTTTGGTTCGTCAACTCGACTGGAGCTGATCAACGTTTTTATATAAAACTGCATTCTACAGTAACAAAACAAGACATAATAATCAGCTGTACAGTGCACCGCAAAGACTCTTTCAACCGAAATACTGATTAAAAATTTTACTCTCAAAAAAGCGTTAAATAATTCCACGGTTCCAATGCTTTGGAAACTTAATTGTCACCCAGGACTTTTGCTACGGTCTGTACATTCAATTCGTGAAGAGCGGTTACACCCCCATTTCGTTGTAAGGTCGGCCATTTTGTCCGACGTCTATTGCTCGCTCTGAAATCCCGTTGAGGCCGTTTGTGCGCCCACGGGAACTTAATTGTCAGAGATCTGGAAAAAATTGAGTTACTTATTTAAAATAAAACACTTTTAGAACACGGTTAAAAACGAAAATTATATTAGTTAATTTATTTTTAATTTACGTATTACTATGCATGGATATCAAAGTCAAAATTGCTATGCTGGCGCCATCTGTAGTAGTTTCGACTTTGACATTAGAAAATACTTTGAACTTAAAACGTTGAAAAGTGAGAAATTATAAGTATGTCCTCTTTTTTCTAAAACTTTAAGAGTTCCTTACAAAAACGTTGTTTTAACTCTTTGACAGTGAGTCAGTCAGAGCCTATGAAAGACCGTCGACATATTTTTTACCAAGCTAACATATATCTCTGTTAAAACCGTCAACATGAATTAACCCTGAAATAGTGATACAATGATAAAACAAGAAAATTTAACATTTTTTTGGCCTATCTATACGTTTGTAACTTACCCATAGTTTCCTGCTGCAGTTCTAGTTTGTACGCTGGGTTGTCATATGGCGGAAGTGAGGACTCTCTGGGCGCTGTCGGCGCAGCTAGAAACAACGTGTAGTCAGTCAAACTCTATCATAGGTATATGAAGAAAGTAGAAGAGATCCTCGTTTTGCACAAATTATACAACTAGCTTTTGTCCAAAACTTTAATTGATTCATAAAAGACCAGTCTCCCCGTGACCACGGCAACTGCAAAGCATCCGAAACGTCGGGCCGAAGTTAAAAATCATTTTCAAATAAGTTTGACTAATATATCGCGTTTTAAACCGTTAAAGTGTTTTATTTAAATGTGTACTACTCGCGTAAACTATATAGTAATAATTCCTTTTCCTTTGTATATCTATTAATAAAAGGTTCATAAATATGTGTTTATTTATGATAATGGTGTATAATATAAATATGGTTTTGTTTTTTATTTAAGCAGAACAGTGTTATAATTTTAAACAGGACTGTCAACTATTGTGGTTTTTAATGCCACAATACCATTAGAATATGGTGTTTTTTACATGATTGACAAAGATACGTTCTCTTGTACCTGCTATAAAGATACTTACGCGTAATAGACACAGAATGCGGTCGATGCCTGCGTATGACAACGAGAAGAAGTAGAACAGACGAGAGTGCCCCGAGAGCGGCCACCACTCCTACAATCACGAGCGCCCCGTAGTAATCTCCCCGGGGAGCACCCCGACTACCGGCTATTGAAGATGCCTCTATTTCATCTGGAAATATAAAATATTATTCATAGTTCAGGTGCAAATATTGGTGACATCTACACATTAAGTGTTATTTTTAACAATGCCACTTTATTTCATACAAGGTGAAATACGCCGCCAGTATAAGATCTAAACAAAATGTCAATCTAAACAAAATTATCGAGCTATTTTGGTTTTGGACATCCGAAAATCTAACGACTGAAACCCAAACACGATTAAATTTCAAAGTCTTCGATGGACGGAGGTTTATATTTTACATCTAGATTTACCAAAAGAAGTTCGACATGTTTCGAAAAAATATATAAATCTAGTAAAATCCTGAATATATATTAACATAGAACACAAAAAATTTTATAATTTATGTTGGCAACATAAAAAGCATTTTAAACTCACTGTCGACTGGTTCAGGTGAGTCCAATGATTTCGTATGTATTTCTAATACGTTGCTCGTCTTCACTTTTCCATTTGTCAAGAACAGCTCGAGCCAAACACGACACCTGAAAGATGTACACAATATACATTGGTAGTACGCTGAACTTATATGCCTATAGAAACATATTTCCTAATACTTTCTGTAGTGTAACTCGAAAGGATATATATACATTACTATTTTTTTTATTAATATTTATTCTACTACTACTTACTACTTCCTCAACTTACTTTGAATCAGACTGCAAGCCAATAAGCGTAATCGCAGGTGGCAAATCCCTGGTCGCAAGTCGGAAGTCATCATGCTCCTTTCTGTTGGCACCACAGGCGTGCGCCGCTCTATAGACCCTGACCCAGCGCTCAGCGGGTGATGGGACTCCGTGCCAGGTCAGTTCAGCGGCTTCTGCGCCAACTGTACGCGCCTCCACAGTTACTGTCCAGTTGTATGGATCTGAAGGAAATCGTTAAGAAAAGCCATCTTACTTTTTCTACTAACATTATAAAAAGTTGTATGCATCCAAGAGCAGATTGTAGAAACTTAGATTGTGGAAACTTTACTTTGGCCCAAGATCTTTCTAATGACATATTGAATACTAGCGCTTTCGCGGTTATTTTGAAAAACTACTTCGGGTTTAGAGTTTTGGGAGGTTTAAGTCGAGGAATATTAAACATTTCCTGATGTCTTCTTATAATCTCCTGAGATCTTCTCATAAAGGTGATCAGTTCAAAGCCTAAATAGCTAAGAACTTATTATTTATACTTAAAGTATGCACGGAATCAGAGGTCTTAGAAAAGAATAAAAGTTTTTTTATAATCTAGACCACAACACCAACCTATATATGGTGCAGTTGTAAACTCGATATGTTGTGGATCAAACAATTCAGTGAGTGACCGAGTTGGAGGGATGAGAACTAGCGAAGCTTCATATCTAACTCCTGGTCGCAGATCTTGGAGGTATGCCGCAGACCGGCTGTGATGAAGAAGTTCTGTCATGCTGTATATAGGCGTCCCCACAGGACGGTATCTGAAATTAAGGATTACGTGTTAAATGTTATAAACCCAATATATAAAGCCAAAATAGATCGACAACACATCTTGTTCAGATGTTATATGGCTGGGGGAGATCGATCGATCGTACTTTGATGGGTATCGGGATACATCTACACTAATATTATTAAGCTGAAGAATTTGTTTGTTTGAACGTGCTTATCTCAAGAACTACTCTAGGTTTACTAGGTTCGAATGGAAAGAAATATTTTGTGTAATTTTTCTAAGAAGGCTTTCAAACATCGGGCTGCGATCATTATGAGCGAAGAAAAAATGGTAAATTTAGAAATATAGGGGTACATTAATTATCTCTGTGGATTTTCTTATCGCGAAAACAGTTTAAGATATCCAAAAAATAATAGGAAAAGGTGATTCTTTCTTAAACAATTTAAAAATACGCGCGTCGCGATATTTCTATCTTTTAAGAACTTACAGGAACCATTTTTATGGGCATGAAACTTCGTCGAAAGGCCGTTTTCCAAGTCAGCTAGTCAAATTTATTTTTACCTCACTTGGATTCCATCGATGTACTGCAGTTCCTCTTCTGAGAAATGTCTCCAGTTGAGATACGCTGTTGTATCATTCACCTCCACAACAGTTAACTTGCAATTTACTTCTCGACGCTTCTCTTCCGAGGGCTCGTCCTACAAAGGAAATGTTTTAATAAAACACTGTAACGTTTTAAACGCGATAAATATATATATTAGTTTAACTACTTTGAAAATTATTTTAACTACGAAAATTATTTACATATCTTCATTATATTGATCAAGCCATCATATACTAATAAACAATTCGTTTTTCGTTTGATTTAGTAAATGCCTCCTTTGTTCAATGTAATAAGTGTCTAACGTTACGTTGAGTGCAAGAAGTCCTAGGTTCGAATCGCGTTAAAACATAACAGTAGTTCATCAAACAAAGATAACTACTGTTCTAATTATACATGTAGTCGGAAAAAGGATTTTACTGCAGTGTCATATATATTCTTCTGAAACTTACCGTGGGTAAAGCTTGAGTTCGGATGGTGTAGACCTTGCTTTCAGGCTCAACAGGCAAGTCGTGCAGGTATAACTTTCCTCGGATTTTGTACATGGTTGATGGTTTCAGTCCGGACAATCGGAATTCTAATCTTGGAGTGGTGAGGATTTCATCAGCTGGTGCAAAAACTTGTGAATACCATTGAGAAACATCGTCGTCCCTGAAAATAACATTGTTGGTTCTTGAAAAAAACGGTTTAAAACGCAAAATGTTTAAACCCGGCGCAGGAGCTGCTGCAAAGCATCCACAACGCCGAGGCATAGATAAAAGAAATTCTTAAAAGTGTTTCGGTTCTTGCTTAACTTTAATTTTACTTAATAAAATTCCTTGTTTCACTTACTCTGTATCTGTATATCTCAAATCCACGCTGCCTCTTAATCCTACTAAGATAGGAGGTAATCCGAACAGCATCTTGATGCTGGTTGGAGAATCAGATTGCAAAGAGATCACCGTCAACTTCTTATTTTCTTCTCCATAGCTGGGTATATGTAACCCAGGCGGTAGACCATCCAAAGCTGGTTCGAGAGGATTAGGTCTGTGAATATTATTCTGATCTTTGTCTGGAACATCCTCCGGCGAAATGGTGGGCAGGAACGATGGCTGTAAAGGTCGGTGACCTTCTGGGAAGCCCGGTGGAAACTGGCCTATAGTACAAGTTATTATTTAAAATATAACATACGCATATAAAAACGGAGTAGAAATTAGAATGAGACGTTTGGAGTATGATAGGATGAGATGTGCAAAAGATATGGAGAAATGCGATGTATAGTGTTGTGCCATACGTGTTACAAGAACTAGTTCTTAAAGAATTTTCTAAAGAGTACGCCGTCTAGATAGATTTAGAAAGGAAACCAAGGCTAGGTCACTGACCTGCCGCGATAGCTCGATTCTTTTCAGCCGATCTTCCGAGGTTTCTGTTGACATCAGTCTCAATTTCCATCTGGCTAAGTATATTTTCAAGGTCTAAAGTGGAGTATTTACTGCCAAGTTTTGGAAGTATTGGACCGTTCGAAGCGGAAAGTAACCGGGTATTGGGAATCGGCCGAAGTAAGACTGTCTCGTAGGGATTAGGAGCTTTAAGTAACAAATGCTTGATTTCCGGTTTCCACGGAGTCTGTACCGAGTTTGATTTAATTGCCTGCAAATCTTTGGTCCGCAAAACTGTCACGTGTTTACCTTGATTATTTTGCGCGACGTGGTCTATTATACTTTCATTCGGAGGAGAGTTATGATCGATTGGGATGTCAATTTGTGTCGCATTTATGGACTCAAAGAGTGTTTTTTTTGGATCTGGACTAGACATTATATTATTTGACTTATCATCGATAGCGAAATTTCTATCGTATGCTGGTATGAAAAAATTAATATGTTTTTCATCTCTTGCAGTATTTTGATTATCATTAATAATTTTATACTGATTTCTTTTGTTAGTATCTCCATGAGTTATATCATCTTTCTTTTGTTTTTCTTTTCGAGCAGAACTACGGTCGTGAGAGGCGACTACTTTTGCCGAATGTAATAATTTCGTACTAGTAACCTGTGAAGTCTTTAATCGATTTTGGTCTACTTCATTGTTAAGTACTAAATCAGGGTTTATCGTTTTAAATGGAGATGAAATATCGTAAGGTGTAAATACTGTTATATTCGTCTTCTCTTGAGAGATATGGTCATCTAATTCTTTATTAGAATAATTAGGTATAGCCGGTACTAAAGACTTCAAATACTTCGGTATACTCGTCTTAACAGGACGCAAGTGTTTAAAAAAGTCTAAATTTCCCGAATGGAACTTTTTGAAGTTCATAGCTTCCGTCGTGTACGACGGCATTGGTAACACGAAAGATGGAGTTGTCAGTATTATTGGCGTAACCAAGTTCATTTTGGATGAAATGGATGTTGTTTTATGTTTCTGAAAAGTCGATGTATTCATGTTGCCAGCTGCAATGAGTGATGAATGATTAACATGCATAAATTGTTATAATGATTATAAGCATGCGATGCACGATATGGAGTTATTTATGGGCTTGATGATGTAAGCAATAACATCGATTATGATTATGTGTTTTTATTAATATGAAATTGTAAACCTATTTATAACCTTTATAAATGTATGGACTCTCTTGATTTATTAGTAGCAACAGGTAATGGTAGTTATCAAGTTGTTGGTTCAATCCCCACAAAGTATTTATTGCGACTAAACTAATCTAAGGTTAATTTGATATACCATCGGATTTTCTCTTTTAAAGCTTGTATAAAAATCTCACCATGTGGAACACATCCCCACTCCTTGCAGCAGTCCTCATCGGATATGTTGACAGGTGCTGGGCGATGCATCGGTGGACATCGTAAAGTCTGAGGAGGCAGAGGCGGTAAAGGATTGCAAGCTTCTTGGCAGTCCAGCTCGCCATTCTCACAGAAGCAATGTTGCTCGCAACCAGTTAACGAGAGTGGGACCTCGCTCCAATTAGGAATACTGGAATTTAAAAGTAAAGATATGCTTTATTTCTGTTTCTTATTTATGATAGAGAAGAATCGGTGACGACATATTTTGGCTTTGAATATTCGGAAATCCACAGACTAAAACCGAAACGTCATTAAACTTGACGGCTTTTTCTTCTTGTCAATCTTGATCAATACGCCATTTAGTTATTCCAGACGAAGTCTAACATGTTTCAGAAAACGTATAAATCGAACCCGTTGATCATGCTTCATACACTGCCACCATTACTCAAACTAAACTCTGATATTAAATATTATTTAATATCAGAATTGAAAAAGGCAATGCGACCGTGAAATGAAATGCACCACAAAGCAATAAATTAATTCTTTATTTTATTTGTTCCTAAGCAAATTAACAATCAAATTTATATGGTAAGTTGGAAAAGAAATTCGTAATCTGCGGTTTTCAACCACAATGAGCAAACGCAAGATTGGTTACGCTAGAATCGCTCAATATATCAAATTAGGGAACGCTTGATCATATTAAAACATTACAAACATATAGAAAACGTAGTTCAGAAATTTAGAGTAGTTTATCGATTGTTTTTTAGGGTATAAATGTAATTATTAGATTTAAGTTATAATTTATTTACGCAGGAAATAAATTTTCACTTAAGCGTAAACACAATTATTATAATAATCATATATTATATATATTAATTACACAATTATTATAATTGATTACAAATACTCCTCGGTTTTATTTTAAATAGAAATATTTCTAATATTAACCTAACACACTATTGGTTTCGACCTAGATGTAAATCTGTAATTTAATAAGTAAATAAGTGAATAATAAATACTTAATTATAAAATGGTGCAACATTGAGGCAAGCTTTAGTTTCTTTTCCATAATTAAATATTTTTTTATATTCATTATTAATCTAGAATCAACACAATTCGTAAATTTTATAGGTTAACAGAAAATTTTTCATTGTTGCGACTACACTGCAATACTTACGCAACACCCTTGAAATGACACGTTCCGTCGCTCAAGCATCTTGCATTACGAGGGCAGCAGTTTGGTGGTTGGGGTGGTGGGTTCGGCGCCCATTTGACACAGCCTTTAGACACCAACTCTAACCCAACGTGGTTTGGACAGACCAGCGGAGCACATTCTCTAGTATCTTGTCCAGTACATTCGCATAACTCAGTGCATCCTATGTGAAATTCGTCACCTGGAAAATAGTGATAACTTTCATCTTCTATGAATTAGAAGTTCACATTTTGTAATTAATTCACTTTCCCTTGTTGGAAAGTTATCAAATGTATGCTAAATGGTTTTATGAAATTTCATTAACATGTACTATAGACAATAATGTTCAGCTAATCACTAAAAATTAAAAAAAATATATACACGGGGTCGTCAGGCTAATATCACAATATTTTTTTAATGTGGCTTCATAGATTCCGAGAATTTGCAAAACGTTATAAAATTTAACGTTAAATCTTCAGCGTAGTGTGAACGCAAGTTCTCTAATTAATCAAAAACTTTAGGTTATAGTTACAGACAAAGATGGAATGAAATCTATTGATAAATGCAAACTGCGTGTCGACATTTACAAATATAAAAGGTGTATCTGGTGTAGTAATTAACGACATTTTCGCATTTTAATTTGAACGATTTTTTTTTTAAATACTGTCTATAGATTACGCGAGTAGTACACATTTAAATAAAACACTTTAACGGTTTAAAACGCGATATATTAGTTAAACTTATTTGAAAATGATTTTTGACTTCGGCCCGACGTTTCGGATGCTTTGCAGCAGCACGGGGAGACTGTCTCCCCATGACCACGGCTGCGCGTTTTAAACCGTTGAAGTGTTTTATTTGATTTTTTTTAATAATTGATTTACAACTATAAAACCTACTTAAAATTTAATATCTTAATTCTGAGAGCGACTTCTACAAATATGCCTTTTAATTAGCCATGCTACATAATTAAATCCTCAGAACCCTTATAAAAAATCTAAAAACTATCCCCGAAGTTCCTTAATCTATCCCTGACTAGTTCCTTTATCTAATATGAAACTTACTTAAATAAATAAATTCACTTACCAATATCGTAAAATTGGCCGTCATGATAGCAACCTACTTTCGCGTCATTAGACTCTTGAATCGGTACCTCATTACCAGCTTCAGATGCCGTTATCGTGAAATTGAACTTTGTTCCGGTTTCTTTAGTTTTTAATATGTAATCGTGACCGCCTTCTAAGTTCAATATTAAGTTCTTGTACCTCAACTCAACATCTTTGTATGTCTCCCCACCATCGTTACTTAGAAGTAGATGGATTGGATCCACTGTGTTATTCGGATGGATTAGATTCACTTGAACGCTATTGTTTTGGAGGACCTTGATAGATCCAATCGGTTCGCTTAAGACCAGAGGCCGTATCGTGGATTTGTGAGAATTTTCGTCTTGTAGAGATTGTGTCTGGAATAATGAGACCAAGTGAGTATTTAGAGTGTCTTCATTTTTAGAAGATCAAAACTTCCCTACATCTTAACTGTATTATTAAACTTCAGTATTTTATTGGATGTCAGGTTTATTCAATCAAAGTCAAAAGAAACAAGTGCGGACGATACAAAAAACTACCTAAATTGGAAGATTTATCAGACACAAAGTCGGAAATGAAAGCTGTACATATATTTTGGATTACTTAGTAAGAGGTCAATGAACTCTGTGGCTAAAACAACTCACCCGAGGAGACGAAGCCGTGACATTTTCCATGGGTTCTTCGTGCACATCTTGAGAAACATCGCATATTTGTATTTCGCAACACGCGTCATTAGGGTCTTGCACGTTGATGCACCTCTCCGATTGCGCTACGCGATTGCACCTGTGACAATATTAAGAAAAAGTTAAGATTATGCAGACATATTTTTGTGTCTCTTTATCATTTACAAAATTAGTCATTCTGGTGGTTATGTCATGATGATTAGGTGAAATACCCCAGCCTCCGAATATCCAATATTTTGGCTTTGGATGTTCGGAAATGTACAAACTGAAACCGAAATTGCCATTAAACTTAACGGCTTTTTCGTGTTCGTAACCGGGACGGAATTTCAATATTCCAATTGAACGCCAACATTTTTCAGAAAAAATATAAATTTATTTGAAACATGTCGGACCAGGTAGAGTGGAGGATCACACCCACGACACCTTGATTATTATTTAAACATTGAAGAGCAACAGCACGGAAAGCTGACGATGCCGGTTCAAGTCCTGCCCGAGTCGAAAAATTCTTTCAATTCATTTTCGATTTTTAAATTATATAGTGCTTTCATGTGCAATAACATGTGAAAAATATTAATGTTTTCAAACATTGAAGAAGTTTTCGAATCGGGCAGGACTTGTACCGGCATCGTCTGCGTTCCGTGCAAACTAGATCTAGAGCAAAATAGTAGTCACAATAAATTATATGGTAAAAATTAAAGTTTTCAAACCTTGATTATTAGACATACTTTGCTACCATTACATATAACGGTAATGTCGTTGAGGTAATGGTATTTTGACGTCAAAATGGTGGTTTAATATTTAGGATTTTAAAGGAATATATATATTTTTACCTTGGCTTACACGTGACGACAGAGTTTCTCTCGCAGGTGCAGGTCTGTTCGCAGCCGATGTTCCACTTAGCGCCGATGTGGTACGTCTCATTACCGTATCGACAGATTTCTAATGTTGTCGGTTTCATCTCTGAAAAGATTAATATTATAATTATTGTGAATTTCTTGTGAATAGTCAATCTAAAGATTATATAAAATGTATAAGGCAGTTGCGGCCATTTTGTATTTGCTGGGACTAAACAGACCAAGTTTGACTGAGGGATTGTTTCCCTAACTATTAATTTCTTGTATGGATTTTTTTAACAGTGGTTATATTAAAAGAGATGTCTTATTAATAATGTGGTTTCGCGGTATACAATAATCGCAATTGAAAGAAAAACAAAGAAAGTACTATTTCTAATTTAGAAAAAATATTAATTCTGAGGATGCATCGATAAGAAATATTAAATATTTCTTAGCAATCTTATTGATAATTTAATTACCATAATAACTATGATACTTACATAATGATATTAATATAAGGAGTTTAACATTAACACATAATTTAAAATAAACAAATACTTTACGAAGCGGTTTACCCTTCAAAACGGTAAATAAACTTAGATAACAACTGTGGATGCATACATACATGTAACAATATAGACGCGTCCTTCCACTTACATTTCAAACTCGTGAGTTGAGCAAATCAAAAATGCCTTACCTCCGTTTGAGCACGCCATGATAGAGCAACATTCATCAACCGGGGACTCAAAGCACAAAGGATCGTTGAGACGTCGTCCGCGCCGAATGTACGGGTGTTTGCACCTCGGCGAACATTCAAATACACCACCGGGGGCACACTCGCACGTCTCCTCGCAGCCTCTATCCATTTTCTCTCCGAGCTATAAGATACGGAATCGGTATTGACACTCTACAGTAACATAAGCTTTGTGTACCTAACATAGAGACGTGTCGGTCGAGAATCGAAAAATCGAGTTTACTTACATGTTTCTATGGAATTAGCTTTAAGAAATAAAGATAAAGATTGTAAAGATTTTTACAATATTAACAAAAATATTATAAATCTAGTCTTAATATAAACGATATTTATTTTTTTTATGATAGAGGGGGGGCAGACTAGCACGGATTTCACTTGACGATAGATGAAGCCTAGTAATATCTAAACACTTACAAATACAAATTCTTTATTCACCCAAAACTGTGTACATTATAGGGTGTGCTAGCCCTACTACCAACTAGGATCCTACTAGAGTCCCTGTGTCGTGGGCGGCAAGCCTCTTTCGGTGCATTTAAAAAATACGAACGTAAATCTTAGTAAACAAGATGCATTCCACCGATTTAGGCTTTGGATATTCGGAAATCCACAGACTGAAACCTAAACGCTATTAAACTACATAACTAATATCACGGCACAATACATAACTAATAAACGTTCGACCTGGTGGGGATCGAACCCACACTACCCCAACGAGTGCGTCATTAATATATTACATATTTTAAGGTATTCCCTCATGATACGAACTTCTCTAAAATTGAAAACTGAATGGGGTTCTGTGTGTACTTATATTTATATATATATAAAATGATAGTATTGGATACAAAAATGTAATATTTGTTTGAAATACTATCACAATCTTCACTATACAAAAGCAATGTTAGCGATTAATTAACTTGTTTGTAAATTCGAATTTTGTTTGACAACAGCTAATACTTTGAATGTTTACAAACTTAGATATTGAATTTAGGATGTTATCTTCTTAGAAATTGCTTCAGCTATCAACAATCAAAACCACGTAACACAATATGCAACACAAACCTTGTAAGTTATTTCGTTCTCCTTGCAAGTTTCGATTTCATCCGATTTATCTATACTCATCATAGGATTAAATGGTGCTTGGAGATTCGAATAGAATTTATCGGACATCTGTTTCCTTTTATGCTCTTGGTCTGACAATTTGGGTTCATCATCTTCTTCGTCCATATTGACATCACTTAAATCACCTATGTTCTTCTTTGGTGCTCTTTGATTTGTTTGATTATGTAATGCATTGGCGAAATTTTGTAACTCATCTACGTTTAAATTAAGTACTCTAGGTTTAGGTTTGACTATACTTTCTGTAACTTCATTCTGCTCTGTTGTAGAGACTTCAGTAGTTTTGTCTGGCACTTTTTCCGTTGTCGTTGATCTCGTCGGTTGTAAAGTGGTAGTACTTGGACGTACTTCGATAAATGGTGGTTGCGTTCCCGCCTGTCCTTCGTCATCTTCACTCATCAATTTACCTGTAAATATTTTTTCATTAGTGAAATGTTTTATACTATCTAACGTCCCTACTAATTATAAATCTGAGAACCTACTTGTGTAATTTGTCGAAACTAACGTTTTACTAAGAAGTTAGTCTATCGTATATTGTTGCTAAGTTTGACTAAGCACGCACTTTTATAATTTGTCGAATGAAATTTTTGACTGAGAAGTCTCGCTTCTACACAAAAATATATAAATATGTGGAAGACCTATTTTATGTCATCTAAATAGTAAATTCTCTTTAGTTTATTTTCAAGTTAGAAAAATAGATATGGCGTTCTATAGTGGATAGAGTTTGTATACATTTAAATTAGAATTGGATAATTTTTCGGTTTTAATGTTTTGCATGAGAATCACATTTCTAGGTTCACAAACGAAAAGTCGGCCAACGTCGGTTAACTTCGAATCCGTTACGATCAATACAACGGCTGTCATTATTAAATAACGTTGATTGTAACCTTATTTTAGCGTTGGAACAATGAACGGTTCATCATCAAGATCCATATCTGATGTTGCCGACTTTCATAGCCAGAAATTACAGTTTTCTTATAAAAAATATTGAATTAACAATTTTTCTCTACCACTTCTACTTTGCTTCATGATGACTTTAGTAAGACGTAACTTGGCGGCAAGATTTTTGCTAATTTTTCTCGTACGTTTTTATTGTCAAGTGTCGAATGTAGATTGTGTTTTTTTTTAACTGTATTGACGTTCTAAGGTGTACTTTGTTTCAATTTGAAATTTTAAACAGAAACACATGAAAACACCCTTTCTTATCCGCATGGTTTGATTGTACTATACAATTACAATATAGTTAATAGTGCAAACCAAGTACATAATACTTCCGTTTGAACTATAAACAATTTCGTTCAAAAACGTACAGACAATATACGTTACGCGAGCAATACTCATTGAAATAAAACACTTAGCGATTTAAAAAGCGAAATATATTTGTTAAACTAATTATAATTAAATTTAACTTTGCCCATACATTTCAGATGCTATACAGCAGCCGTGGTCATGAGAGACTGAAGATAAAATGTCGTAGTTATATTAAATTAAGAATAAGTATTATATTTCACGTTAGTATTATACTAACCAACTCAGCTACCGTACCCTACGTGCAATCATTCTGTATTAATTTAAAAAATATTAAAGTTTACAAACAATAATATATTAGAATATCAACCCGTTAAAAGTGATTTATTACTATTTTGTAACCGCAGTGTGAACAGAGCCTAATACGCATATTGTGACGTGTAGACGTGACCTAAGTCACTTGCATAGCGTCATGCATGAGAGCCCCAGCCGGATACTTACCGCCTTTACGCAACATTGGCTTATGCAGACTTATGCGTTGCTCATTCGGTTCGGATTTTCTCTGTGACGAAACAATCATGACAAATAATTTGGACAGAGAGAACCCGAATTTCGAAGGTTACAGAGAATTAAGACGGATGACATTTTTTACAGATCCAAGTTAACGAAGGTGTGATGTCGACCTATTGCAATTGATAAATCCTTTAGAAGTCTTAAGCGGAGGTGGACAAATTATTTGTGCTCCATCGGTATCATTATGTATAATTTAATTAAATATATAAATATATATTGTTGTAAAATAACACTGTTATACGTTTCTTTAAGAATGCAACTATTAAACAAACTTAGACTTTTTTTCCTCTTAAAGAATGTTTTCATAAAATAAATAACCTGTATTATGAAGATAAAAAGATATAATTAAATAACTAAAATACTTTTAACGGTTTGCACAGCGAATTATCAGTTAACTAATATATCTCGCGTTATGACCTGTTAAACGTGTTTTACTTTTAACTTATTATTAAAGATAATTTGACTAATATATTTTGCGTTTAAAACCGTTAAAAGTGCTTTATTTTAATATGTACTATTCGCGTAAACTACAGACCAAAAAACATAGACTTTTACATTAGAAAATGGCATTTAATAATCTATCTTAAATATGAAACGGCTAAATTTTTGTATCTGCTTCTTGTTATTTATTATTTTTTTCAGATATTCGAATATAAAAATAAGATCTTAGGTTATGTCGAAGACAGTCAATGTGTCGTCCTTTTTATACCGAACCAGTGAATAGCGGATGTAAGTTTAAGTAAGTGGACATCCGAAGCTTTGACATATTTCCGGCGAGGTAAGGAAATCTGCTAAAATGCAAGGATGTGGTGCAAAAACGCGGTATGAAAACGATATTTGACGGTAGCCTAAAAAACGTTCGACACAGACGAAAAATGACAACTCAAAATGTCGACAAAAAACTACGTGGATGTTTGTGGCAGACATATTTTTGCGCCCGTCTGAATAATATTTTGTTTTTACTTAACAGCGAACATAACATTCGAAGCTAGTTTATAATAATTAGTTTTTATTTAAAAAAAAACAATGTTTACGGTAAAAAACGCGAAATAAATTAAGTAACTACGATACCACGTTTCTAATACTTTACAGCCGTGGACACGGGGTCTATATATGGAAATGAAGCGTAGGGTCGTGGCTTAAAATATGTTAAATAATTTATTCTAAATGAATTGCATGAAAGACAAAAAATCTTCTTACTTTTGTTTTAAGTATGTGTATTTTAGCAACACATAATATTTCACAAATCTCACCTTGGTCGTGGGTTCGACTTCCACCGGATCCAACGTGTTTCAAATCAATTTATGATTTTTCTGTAATATGGTGCACTTCTAGAATCTCTCTACTAAATCTGTATACTAAATGGGTGATAGCAATATCGTTCCGTCCGGGTCACGAACCAACGTCCACAGATGAAAAGCCGTGAAGAATATTCGCACTTCGGTTTTAGTCTGTCTTCCTTAATCATAAAAGATGTATAGATTATATTGTATACTTTATTAGGAATCATACCAGGGCCGTTAGCTCTCGATCAGCGTGATCTAGCTTCGGTAAAGAGGGACAAGGTCAGACATCGCACGAGTGTCAATTTAAAGCATAGATCACCTTTTCGGATCTACCTACATCGACCTACTTTGATCAATAGCGTGATTGATTAAATCCCGGGTTCCATGGGACGAACACATTTCTGTGTCCGCTTCACTCGTCGGTTTATTACTGGCAAGTGTTTGATAGATTATATTTTACTTAAATTATTCATGTGTTTTAAAAACACTATATAGAGAGTTTCGATAAAACAAAAATCCTCTTTGTGTCCAAAACTTCTAAAAGGCCTATTACATATTACATATTTAGAAACATAGGTGGAAATCGAACTCAGGGTCCTATATATATTTTGTATCTTGTATGTAGGTACTTTACGGCTATGGAACGGACACAAAAATGTGTTCACCTCATGCCCCCATGCACTGGGAAAACGGGATTTCGCTTTATGTAGGTACTTCAAAGGGTTCCGTAACCAAATGATAAAATAAGGAAAGTTTCTGCTATTACTAAAATTTTGCTGTCGGTTTGTTTAATTTTATTTCTAGTGAATAATATATACTAATATTTATATATTTAGAATACCGCTAGAGAGTTAAAATTATAGCAAACAATGTATTTAATTTTCACAACAAATAAGCACCTGTAACAGAAATAACGCTAAGTTTTTACTTTATTACAAACATTCCATTAAAATAACTTGAAAGAAGTCGAAATGTACAACATAAAATTAGTGTATATCAATGGTACGGAACCCATCTTTCACGAGTCCCTCTCGGACTTGGCTTTCGCTTTTTAACTAGTAGTAAAAGAAACGTTAATGCTAAGTGTAATATAACGCGCTCTGGACCGTAACATATAGCGGGACCAATATCCGATAATCCTCGTACTCTCTTATTTGTAAAGATTATTAGCGTTAGAAGCATAATTGTAGAGCGTGGTTTTCAAGTCACTAAAACGGTATAGATGGAAAAATATATCTCGGGCCAAATTAACACAAATTGTAAAAAAGCTAACTGATATATAAGATGGGTTCTTGGAAAAGCACAACACAATGTAATTCATCTAGAAATAGAGTTTTATTAACTATATTCATATGCAATGATACGTAGAATGAAACGAATGAAGAAGTAATAAAAAAGTAATGTATCCACGAATAAGGGAATCGACAATCAAGTGTCAATGTTCCCGTCTACACTTATGTCGCGTTTTAAACCGTTAAACGTATTTTATTAAAAATAAATAGTTAAAATATAAATCATGCAGACTTCTAATCCAGCGGATGGTCGAACTATACTCGTATTTTGTTTTAGCTAGAAATTGGCAATTCGATTGGTGGTCTCTCCACAGGAGTTAAAAGTTGAATTCTTGAATATCTTTACGTTAGCTATTTATCTAATACGAATGTTTAGGGTTTAAGGAAGCACAAAAATATGTACTTAAAATATCTGAAGATTGAAATTAGGCGACAAAAGGAGTAGCGGCGAGTTTCTTGCCAGTTCTTATCGCTTCGTTTTGAGAATTGGTAGTAAATGTATACAGTCTTATTTTTAACGGTTTTGACGTACGTTAATGTATAATAAAACTCGTTAGTACCTAATGATTTTTACCCTTTTTAGCCATGAAATTATTTATATCATTTATTATTGCATTAGTTAATCTTCTAACTAGCGCTAGCGGTTAGCGTGCTAGACAGCAGAACACTAACACAGAATCACTATTGTATGATGAAGGAAATACTTTAATAATAATTATTTATTTTCTTCAAGATTTCACACAAGTTACGCCCGTACTGCTTTCCATGTAACGTCTACATCGTTAAAGCCTACTCAAAAACGCAGAAATGGCTTGAACTACTAGATCTTATGAGGTATAAAAATATAGTTGACCATTTCAAAATTAAAATCTGTAATCCGTAAGTTATCACACTATATTCGTATCGAAGATGATTATTTATTGACCAAGTTAAACTGGCCCAAACTTGCCCACCAACAAAAACTAATCAAACAGACGCGAACAAAACGAGCGTCGTTTATGGAATGTGTTGATTCCCAAAAAGGTAGCGGTGAAGTCACGATTCTACGCCGGTTCCGCTACATTTAACATTTTTGTATGATGGAGGACAGACAAACATGGGAATCATTTGATGAAGGTGAAGTACCCCAGCCATAGAACAGCTTAATTAGAAGCGCTATCGAGTTATAGCTTTGGATATTCGGAAATAGGAAAATCCACAGACTGAATCCAATTCATAACTTGGACGGAATTCGAACATTCCTACCATCCATTTAATATCCATATTTACGGACGAAATCCAACATCTTTCGCTCTTTGAACGAAGTGCGAATTTTAGAAATAAGGTTTTTCGTCTTACAACAATGGACCTTAGTTAATGGTTGTATTTGCCATTTCGGTGAGAAAAGGTCTGGTTGTTTGAAAAGAAGGGAAATTCAAAATTTTGAATAAATTTTCTTGATACTGTATATCAGTTTCGAAAACTCTTACTTGGGCATCGTTACATACTACCATTGTTTCGGTTATGAGCTTCACCTTCGATCTAGGTCTACAGCACTCAAAGTATGAAAATAGGTTACACTTACTTACATAAAAATACATGCAACAGTCCTCTATAAAAACCAACGCTAAATATAAACTGCCGCAATTATACAATTAAAATAATCAAAGGAATCGACCATTTTTGTTATAAGAAATAGAGACAAAATGAAGCAAAAAATGAAACTATTATAGCGTTAATATTCTTTGATTTGCAGGTCAGCCCACGTCAATGCTGAGGTGAATCATAACTATAAAATATAGTCATATTATAGATACACTAGAGTTGTGAAGAAAAGCATGAATTCGTTACTTTTAAAATCATAGCAGTAACGGACGTATCGTTACTAGTTACTACACATTTCTACTACTGACTTCTAACTTCTCCTTATCTACACTACTTAGAGGTTTCCTCCAATGAATTACTCAAAATAACTTTTGAATAAGTGTGAATGTAAGTTGAAAACGAAGACCAGAATTTTTAAGTAACGATGCGAAATAAAAAGTAGCCGTTACTGAGTAACGAAAACGTACGGTTTATCTCAACTTTACTATATTATTAACACATAAACATTTGCCCGCGAAACCTGTTACGTTAACATAATACCTGTTGAGATAAGCTAATGGTGTTTTTGCATTCATATCGAGATTGTTATAACGGGATGGAATCGCATATTATGAAAGTCACGGTAAAAAACGTCTACCTGTGTTTTTTACGTGTCAAATTTAAAGGGAAATTATGCGGCGTGGTTCAGTATAATATTAACAGTATATACATAGTATAGCTGAAGAGTTTGCTTGTTCGAACGCGTTTCTCTCAAACCACGCCTCATATATTGGATTGGTTTTGAAAATCTTTTAAAAGGTTATCGAGACACATTTGCCGGTACAACAGGCATATGTAATAAAAGGCAAAATAGGACGGCATCGCATCTTGATCAGACAAAAAAATCTCAGTTTAGAGAGTGATAATAAATAACAATAACAATAGGTATGCATATAACACTTTAACGGTGTTAAAAGTAATATATTAGGAGCAAAGCATCCGAAACGTCGGGCCGTAGTTAAAATAATTTTCAAGTAAGTTACTGTTTCATTTAAATGTGTATTGTATACTACTCGCGTAAACTAGACAGTAAATATTTAATGTAGGTGTTTGTAACAATTTTATAAAAAAGTGTAAAACAAGACTTTATAATTATATCAGCTAAAATAGTTTAGATAAAATTTCCATTAGTCAGAAGTAAAATTATAAGTTGTTTTAAATACAATAATGTTACAGGGACTACTATTACTGGACTAGTATAGACTAGATCAACATTTATATTTATAACTGCCTTGACATCAACGATTTCTTACGTTTTTCTCAAGTGTTGTAACTATTAATGACAGTTTATACATTACTAACATTTATCCCACGTTATAGTTGCGTATATTGCAAAATGCATAGTTTTAAAACGACATACATAATTCTATAATACGCGCAATTTATATAATAGCGGTAAGATAAAAATATTATGTGTTGTTCTTGTAATAGTTTGTTTATAATATAAAACAGTTATTTTTTTTGTTCCTTTCTGAGCAGAAATACAACTCAATAGTGCAGGCATTTTTTTTTATAATTTACCGTTGTCAACAACGGTTGTTCGTACATCAATAATTTAATTGTCTAAATATCTTCAACCTAGTCTGAAAAATATGGACGTAAAGTCGATGGTCACGTACTTGGAACATGAACAGATATAAAATACAATAAAATCAACACTTTGTCCTTACTTAATTCTGTATCGCAGTCGGTGTATTCGTGGTTGCAGTCGACGGTGTAAGCTGCAGCGCTGGCCAGCAGCACCGCGCACAGCGCGACTGCGCATGCGCCGATCGCCATCACCGCGTGGGCGCCATCTGAATTAGAAGTTTTATTTTAGAAATCTATCCTAATGGCATAAAGCTGTATAAATTAGAAACATGTTGTGCCCAGCGGAGATCGAAGCCACTACCATTACACCAACGAGCCCATTAACTAAATAACGTAAGTAGTATATTAAACTTCAATAATCTTCTTTTAGGGTAATACATTTTTAGCATTCCTTAATCCTTTGCTTTTAGTCGTGAGCTTTATGAATACGCTCAGGTGTTCCCAAACATTTAGGGGAGATAACAATCTTTGTTCCGCCTTTATTCCGACCTCTAAAAATAGGACCTTCTGAGAACACCATATATATTTGATGTAGGAAAAATACCTCAATAATAAAATAGGTTGTGTTATCGACCTATTTTTATTAATCTGATGATTATAGGCCGCTACTTCCGCGCTTCTTCGCTTAACTGAGTCTTCAAATGCGAATAACATGCCTACTTCATTCATAAGCCCTATCTATGTTCAGAGTTCAACATCTCTTTTTATGTCAAATTTTGCAGGCCTTAGTTGTAACATGTTTAGCTAACATATCAATAATAATTAGTAAATAAAACAGCTGGAATTGAATCCGTTTTGTATAGATAGATAGAATAGCCAAGAAGTAGGATCAATAGTATTTAAATAAAACACTTTAACGGTTTAAAACGCGATATATTAGTTAACCTTATTTGAAAATGTTTTTGAACTTCACGGGGTCACGTGGAGACCACGGCTGCTGCAAAGCATCCGAAACGTCGAGCCGAAGTTAAAAATCATTGTCAAATAAGTTTAACTATTATATCGCGTTTTAAACCGTTCAAGTGTTTTATTTAAATGTGTACTACTCGCGTAAACTATCGACAGTATTTAGGGTCAATAATAATCACCTGGGTCACAAGGGTCACAAACCACGTTTAATCTTGGAAGCTTTTTTCAAAGTTTCTATAGATACTAGATTATAGCTTTTTCAAACCTAACCTTCAATTAAATTCACCCCGTACTCATCACTCGCAAATTCACGAAGAATTCTAGATCATTCCAATTCGTAACTACCCATTGTTACCTCTCTTTTTTAACAAAACAACATCCTATTAAAACGCAAGCCATGTACAGGAAATGTATGTAACAGTTTTTCGTGCTCGTAATAAACTTAACGTGTAAAAACAGTAAATAATACTGTTATTCACCAACTTAGACCGGCTTGAGACACATTTTAATGGTACAATTGTTGTATTATATATAAAATAACAATTCTAGCATTGGGATCTTCGTTTTGGTTGTGGTAAGTAAAAACCTAAAAAAAAAAAAAATCGACTCGGGCAGGACTTCAACTGGCATCGTCAGCGTTCCGTGCTGCGAGTCAAAAAAAAAAGTTGAAAAAACACTTTAACAGTTTAAAACGCGATATATATTAGTTAAACTTATTTGAAAGTTATTTAAATACCGCCCGACGTCAAAGTGTTTTATTTCAATGTGTACTACTCCCGTAAACTTTAGACAAAACTGTTTTGTGGTTATAAAAGATACGTTCGTTATTGCAACGAATGTTTAGATAAATTTCGTGAAATAAATGTTTGATCTCGATTGAATTTTGTTTTTCTCAGCTTCTCGTGTTTTAAAGGCATGAACAAATACTAAATATTTTGACTATTCCCATTACGATAAAAGACACCACTTTAGTTATTAGACTGAATTCCGCCACCAAATTCTATAAATGGCCGAAAGCAAACTCAAATCATTCCTTAGTTTATCAAATATACATGTGCCTGCGACATAAAACGAATTGTAAAGGAGAACGTATGGAACCAAAACAACATAATAGCTAAACGCATAAAGAGTTAGTTAAATACGTTGAGATGTTAATTATGTAGACACGTCGTGCAAACTGCGTTCGGAAAATTACAAGCAACATGAAAGATACGGGCTAAGCGTAAGTAGAACTCTCTTAAGAAGGGTTCCGTATATCGAGTTTAGAGATTTTTGAGTTATTTTTAGCTACATGTTGCTAAATGTCACCATTATGGCACTTAAAGGGGAAAGTCAATATTTTTGTTGGAACTTATTTTATAAAGCATAGTTGTATGTATGGGATAGGGCAGACTTACATCTGTGTCTGTTTAATTCATCGAATTGGGTATAGGCAAGGTAAGTTATTGTTTCTTCGATATTAGCGAAAACATAATTATCATAAGAATTTCCGGATTAATTAGATTTATTGTTATAGGAAGGAGGCAACTTACAAATTGTATTCTAGTAATTATTCGTAAGTGATTGGGTATATGAATGCAAATCATTGTTTTCCATCCTGCTGTTAGTGATTACTTCCTCCAAAATATGCTTTACGTGGTAGAACGACTTGTTATCGCCAGTTTACCTAGATATAAAAGACGACACGAAGGGTGAAGCGACCTCTCGCGGGACTTTTTCGCTCTCTCCATACTGATTCAACATTTTGTTGTAAACAAAGAAAACATCATTTATTCGCCATTATACATTATGCTAAAATTACACATTTAAAATAGTCATAATATAGTCCTAAAATTCTAAGGCGAGTGCAAGAGTTTTTTTTAAGATCTCTGTCGCATTGGAGTCCATCTGTAACGACAGTGCATTTATGTAAATATTAAATAAATAAATAAATAAAAATTATTATTAAGACTTATACGTTATGGAAGAATTAATGAGAGGTAACTAGGCCAACTTCTTGAATCAACAATGGCAACTGCTTCTGGTGTTGCAACAATATTCTTTTAACGTTTTTTGCTAAACACTACCACGGATTTAAGCTCGAACTGGCGGTTTTGTCCCAAAACTTAGCATATCTAAAACTACCACGAAACGGCTTTTCGTGCCAAAAGCCGGACCGTGACTAAGTTACCTCCCGCAGCAAATCTTGTATTATAAATCTTATCTTTTAGGCTTCTTCACAGCGGCAATCGCTGTGCATATTTTGATTAGTTCATTGCTATAATATTATTTTATTTTCCGGATAACTCGGCGTTGTTATGTCGAACGTTCAAGTTGCGAAATCGTTACAAATCTTTTTTTTAAGATAAAAGAGGACAGACAAGTGAAACCTTGATGGGAGGTAAAATATCCCAGCCGTATAACTGCCCAGGATGCACTGTCGACCTATTTTGGCTTTGGATATTCGGAAATGTACAGACTGCAACCGAAACGCGATTAAACTACACGGCATTTTTCGTCTGTGGACGGTGGTTCGTGATCCGGTCGGAATTTCGATATTACTACCACCCATTTTACATCCAGATTTCCAGACGAAACAACCATTAGATCAACGAACCTTTATAATACCGATATACTATCAGCCCTACTAGTTTCCAAAAAGGCTCCCTAAGGGTATATTAGATTTAAGAACAAATATCCCGTTTTAGTTGTGGTAAAGAACCCAAAACAATTTTAATTTTGGGAATTTTCTTATCGTATTGTAAAAGAAAATTTTAACCATCTATTGATCTTATATACCTAGAGGTTAGGTTTACTCAAATCAAGTCACGACCGAAGTATTCATAACTGACAAGACAATATTGAAAATCGAAATCGTTTTATAATCGAGCACCGTATTATAATATGACGTAACAATATGTGTAAGTACGTAGGAGTACTCCTTCCATTGTTGCGTGCTCTTGTCACTTTCATTTGACATAAGAAAAAGTATAATGCACTATGTTACCGTTGTTTCCGTATCAGCTATATCAGCTGTCAAAATTCAATTTAATTTGACATTTACTTTGTTTGACAGTGTTTTTTTTTTAATTTGTGCAACTGTATGGCAAACTATTGCTTTTTGGCCCATGGACTAGGATCCTAGGTCACGTAAAGAAAAAAAAGTTTTTAGTTTAATACTACTACTAAACGTTATATAGACAAAAGATTTATTGCTATATTTTTGGCTGGAAACTGCGTACAATTTCAAATAAAAGTGAACTAAGTAACTTATACATATTATCTTTTATTAAGTTCGTTTTATAAACTAAAAATCCATTATATTTAAAAATAAAATACGACACGGGCAGGGCTTGAACCGGCATCCTCAGTGTTCCGTGCTGTTGCTAAAGAATTTAGCCGTGTCCTACACGTCACTGTCAAATTTCAAACATGCACCTGTCTCTCTTAAAGACAAGATTACTAATTTTGACTTTATTTTATTATATATTAGAGAATACTCAAAACAATAGACACGTTACCTTTCTCATAGTTTTTGACACAGAAACTCTACTGCAGAAACTATGTATGAAGAAATTTATTAGAAAGTTTATCGTGAGAATGAGCAGTTTATCGGTCATAATTGACATGCATATTGTATACATTGTCTAGAATAGACACAAAAAAACTATTTAGTTCTACAGACTCTGAAAGTCACTTATAATCTTATCACTTTGCATAACTTTCTTTGAGTTTTTAAACACGACTTCTACTAACTTCACGTAAAAAACGTATTCTCAATAAATTCTTCTTACTATTCTATTATATTTTTATAATTTAATTTCCACGAGAGCTGTTTTTAAATTACCGTTTGAGATATTTGACTGTTTGACAGTTTGGGAAACTCAATCTATAACAAAGACAAGTGAATTATTATAGTCTGTCGTGGGTTTGAATTTGTCCTCATATTATTTATCACTTAAGTCCACGTGTACATAAATACCCAAAACAAGCCGACCTGGCAAATGTTCTCTTGTATTATGACGTATTTCGACCCAAATGTGCCATAACAACAAAATTAAATATAAAAAAAACATACTTTCTTTATTTTTACTAATATTTATAGACATATTTCTTGGGTATCTTGGAAAACCATAAAATATGAATAATTTTTTCCCGTTTTTTTTTTCACATTTTCTTCGCTCATATTGGTCGCAGCCTGATGTTTTATAGTCTAAAACCTTCCTCGATAACAACCCAACCGACACAAAAAGAGTTCATCAATTCGAACCAGTAGTTCCCGAGATTAGTGCGTTAACATAACGATAACAAACTCCTC